AATACAACTTTAAAGTCTTTTTTAAGCCAAAATAAACAAAATTGTTTGTGCTTTTTTCAGGCAATGTTTGAGATTATCACATCTGAGGCTTCCTACCTAAAGAGTTTGAATGTCTTGATTGATGTATTCCTCATGTCCCCAGAATTCTCTTCCGAACACTCTGACCGATGTGTCATCACTAGACAGGAACGCCATGTGCTCTTCTCCAACATTGGTTCCGTGAGGGACACCAGTGAAAAGTGAGTCTCATCATTTAACTTAATAATTAGTCACAGAAAATTTTTATTTCTGAATTCTTTAAAGAAATGAATGTAGAAAATTTGTATTTTATAAGGCAGTAAGCTCATATAATACTTTTGCATTGTAGTGATAGTAATACATAATACTTTGAGAATAATGATGTAAGAAGTTGCTTTCTATAGGATGTATAAGGGATACATTTTTTAAAAAATAAATCATTGATAGATACATGTACTATGTTTATTCCATGTTTATTTGTATTTGTTTTTGCAGTTTCCTATGTGACTTGGAGGCGAGCTGGCAAAAATCTGTCTTTCTATCAGATCTCTGTGATATTATTTATAAACATGCTGCTAACAAGTTTGAGTGCTATATTCGGTATTGCACTAACCAGACATTCCAAGAGAGAGCCACACAGGAACTCCAGTAAGATTTTTAATGTCAGATTTTATCATTCCACAAATAGAATTACAGTAGCTTCCCATGTATTTATCAAAATAAATGTGGGGATTTCTCATATATTTTATAAAGAACACAATCAGATCAACATTAAGATGGCAAATATCAGGACCTTTTTCTCTGGTGAATTTGAATTTAACAATGTACAAATATTGTTCACTTAAGTTCTTATATTTGTTCCAACAGAAAGCGACCAGAAACAGCGGAGGTGATCAAGCGTCTGGAGAGGAACCCTGCTTGTCAGGGCCTCCCTATGATCTCCTTCCTCCTGCTTCCGATGCAGAGAATCACACGGCTCCCTCTACTGGTGGACGCCATTTGTCACAGGCTGGATCCAGACACTCCTAAACACAAGTCAGCTTGTAAAGCTCTGGACGCTCTTAATAAGGTGGGGAATTTCTTCTGCTGAGATGTTTAATGTTTTTACCTACGGAACTGGTGTACTTGAACATGTAGACTCCTAAATATATGCGAGGAATTTATTATTGTATTATTATTTCAAAGAGTACCACTCACAGAATAAAATTACTCACTTTTATATTTATGTTTATGAAATGCATATAAAAAAACTCTTCATCAATGGATTGATGTCATCGAGTGATTCGCGATATTGAGTACTGACTTAAAAAACGGCATATACAGTATAAATATGATAATGGATATGTGCACTATATTTGATCTAACAAGTGCCATGACTAGTGAGTGTCAGTTTCTTATGTTTTAATTAAATATGAGAACTACAGTGCATAAGGATCACTCCTACATGTGAATTTTACTTCAAATTAATTCTTAGTCAGCTTGCAAGAATGATATTCATGATATATTTTTTTTCAAAAGTATATTTCATTCTGTATTAAATCAGTCCCTTTTGGTGCATGTTATTTATTTGAAGGGAAATATAATTTCAGAGCTTCCTTTTTTTTTTTTTTTCAAAATTGTCAGGTGCCCATATTGGTATTTGAGTTATGTCCTAATCACTATGCTTAAATGAAAAAAGTTTTCTTTAGAGACTTGTTCATTTCTTATTTGTAGGTTGTCAAGAAATGTAATGATGGAGCTAAACGTATGCAGCAAACTGAACAAATGTGCCATCTTGCTCGTAACCTGGAGTTCAAAGTCAAAGTAAGAATTCTCAGGTTAAAAGCTAGGATTCTAATAATAATAAATTTTATGAGTAATTATTTTTAGATTCATAGATTGTTTTTTCTTTATTGTAACAATGTACATGTATAGCTTATCTGGTTTGTACTACATGTATTTTATTTTCTATGGCATAAAAGAACCAAAATATAAAAACTACTTCTGCAGGAAATCCCCCTTATCTCAGCATCACGTTTTCTGGTGAAGCAAGGGGAGCTAACTCGTATAGTAACAGATTCAACAAGTCGAATTCCCTTTGGAAAGAGAGCTTCCAGCAAACAGCCGGTGTACATCTACTTGTTTAATGATTTACTGATTGTCAGTAAACGGAAAAAGTAAGTTATCTGGATCAAGACTTTAAAGATTGTATCTTTTCAAAAGCATTGACATTTAGAATTATCATAGAATTATTTATGTTCAATGCAAAAAAAATATTTTAGAGATGAACTCTGGTGTCATAGTTTGTAAATTCTCCATGGAAAGTAGAGACCAGCTGTGTTGTACAAAATTTTGAACCTAGGTTGAAATTATTTCTGCAAAACAATGAACCTGTTTAAAAAATATTGCTCCCCCTAGTGTTTTAAATACTATACTATATATTGATCCCAATTTGGATTTTTTGGGTTAAAAGGTGAGAGAGTTCATATTTTATGGGAATTTAGGATTGACAGAGAGTGCATCCCAGTTTTGAATGTATACATGTATTTGTGAATTCCTTCTTGTATTGATATTTTTGCTAGTATTTCTGGAGAATTTGATTGATATTACAGATGTAGAAGTTCGTATTCCTTCACTCCTCAGAATATATCCGTATTGTTGTAAGTAGTGTCCCAAGGCATGGACTGGTCCCCAAAATCAAAGGGGGATAACTCTGCCTCTGTGTTCTGATGAAGTCTATTTCAATCTTTTCTATACAAATAATAATGATCTTCTTACTTTTTTTTTCCTGAACATTGAAGAAGCTGTGGGCTTATTGCGACATTCAAATTTCAGTGTTTCTGGTCATTCAGAGTCTTATAATCACTCTTGAAAATAGGACTTTTATAAAGATAGTCTAACATGCCTACATGATGAATCGTTAAATATAATTGCATGTTTCAGTGCATGTATGCGTCAATGCTCTCTGAAAAAATGCATGATTCTTTCCAAGCAACAGGATTTAAAGATGTTTCCTTTTTAAATGGAGGAATTATTTTTCTCTTTAAACATATAAAATTCAGTGAACTATGTTATATGAAGAAATATGAGTACATACATTTACAGAAAATATAAGACTTTGTAACTAAGGTTTTCTGATCTGTCAGTATACAATGACTGTTTGTGTTTTAGTACCGGTATGTATCATAAAGAAATACATCTGTATCAATGATTCATTCTATTTGTTACTGCAGACATCATTTTCTTGATCATTTCCTTAAACTGATTACATGTAGTTTATATTGTTTTATACTAAAGGTCCGATAAAACAATTTTTTTCACATTTATGTTGTGTAAAATTGGAACTGTTCTAACTTCTGATTTGACTTCTTTTACAGTAACAACACATATGTGGTGACAGACTATGCTAAGAGGAATGCTCTTCATGTGGAGAATATTGATACCCCAGAGAAAGCCAGACTTCTACCAAGCGGTGTCCCAAGTGGTATGAAGAATCTATTTATAGTAGCACTGCTTGAGAACCATGAACAGCGACAGGTGGAGCTGGTCCTCAGCTGTAAATCTCCGTAAGTACAATGCCCTCCACCCCCCATCCCCCTCTATAAGTAACACAAGTACAAGGAACACAAGTACAATGTATCAATAAGTAAATGATACTAAATTAATCTAAGTATCTGTAGATTGAAAAATGTGCTGACAAAGCTTAAGTTACATGGAACAAATCAATGACTCCCTATATGGTATTAACTTAATAAAAAAAAAAAATGATTTCTGGATTACAAAATACATTGGTATTAATGAAACTTACCAAAAATGCATGTACTTTGTTGCATACCCCTTTGATCTAATTATCTTGATTATTCATTGTGGAAGTGATCTATAAAGGTTCTGTATATAATAAATGGGGATGGTGGTCCATATTCACCAAAGGAGTATTCTACTTAAAGTATAGTAGTGTGGTCCCTTTTTACACCCTTGGTTTACCAATTAAATATTAGCATACGATATTTTGTTTTCATTGTGTATAACAAAGTATTTCTAATTAAAGCATTGTATATTTATAATGAATAATTAATGATAAATGAATGAAAAAAAAAATACAAGCCAAATTTTAACACCTTTCGCACTAAAAAATTCCGGAACACCCCCCACCCCACCCCCCCATCAGACTACGGTTTCTCTATTACATGGAAATGGACAGAGACATTTAGATTAGATACTACAAAAAGAATATCTTGATATGATATTTTTCTTTCAGAGACAAATTATATGTCCAAGATTCACAATCAACTACAAATATAATTTTCTATTTACAAATCTTTGGAAATAAAATGCTATAACAAGATGAACCAGACAAGTCCATGCTGACCTATATAAAACTGAGTACCAGTACCGTTTCAGCTGAGAGCTAGCCCATTTACTGAGGGCATTTACCCATAACAATACACATCCACGTGGCTTGTTATAATTCTAAACAGGTCATAAAGAGGTTGCATGTAAATGAAGTCAGCGAAGACATTAAAAATCACAAAAATCATAATACTTTTGATTAGAAAACATAGAGCACGTACAAGGTTGTTCAACAAAGATATTTTCACTCAACCTTTACTCAACCTTTACACATATAATATAACATTATATTTCAAACTTGAGTCAGAACAAACCTGTGTTTACGAAAGCTTTGAAGTGTGTACCTATCACAGATTTCTTTTGATAGTCATGAAAATCAAAGGACTCTATCTTCAACACGCAGCTTCGTATGCTGCCTATATCTATTGTTTGACATTTTTAGATGATGACTCAAATAATAAAGACATAAGTTAATGGTAATAATTTTTAAGGCTTTTTAATAAATGTTTGAAATTTGATGAAATTTGATCTGAGTGACCAGGGACCAAAAATAAGCTTTACTGAGACTTGTTCTTTCTAGTTCAAGCTCAGCTATGTTATTATTTCTGATTGTGCATTTTCTCAGCTGGATTTTTCAGCAGTAACCAACAGTTTTCAATCATGTTAGCATCCAGATGATTGGGCAGGCCACAACATTCCTCGAGTATTACTTTCAGTTTTGTACTTTAGCACATTACGTGCACGATGTACTGGCACATTGTCGTCTTGAAAGATAAAGTCATTTTATGAAAAACTGGCCACAGTTCATTATCAATGATTTCTCTGTACTTTTCAGCATTAATATTACCATTGACAATTGTCAGAGTACCTGGTCCAATCCAGCAGATACACCCCCAAATCATTAGACTAACCCTTGCACCACAACCGGGAATAATGCATTGCGGCATCCACTCCTCTCCGGGTCTCCACCACACATATACCTGATTATTTTCTTCAATGATCACTTTACATTTATCAGAAAAGATAACCTGATTCTAGTCACCACCAACTTTACAATGCCTTTTTCTCCTAGTCCATACTGCTCATGTTTTAAGTTCACATCTCGGATTCACAAGTTTCTTTTTCTAAAAACTCATCTGTGGTATTTATTTTGAAACGAACACAGTATACCTAACTTCTGAAACAGTATTTTTTTGGAAACTGGTTGAATTTAGCTTTCTTTCAGAGGTTTAACTCAATTTGTGTTTGCTGACCTCAAAATTGATTGTTCGTTCTTGCACACAAAGTTTTTTTCTTTCTCCCCATCAACATCACTTTAGTCCCAAGCTCTTTGCAATATCTGATTGTTTCATTCCACTCTGAAAACTATTTACATTCCTTTGTTTCAAGCTTGGTGATAAATCTATCACCTCCCCCCTTCTCTATTTACACTTAATTGCATCACAGAACATGATACATGTATGTAATTATAATGTACAATGTCATTTTACCCAGTCATGTGCCCTTTCTATTTGTAAAAAGCATACTGAAAGGAGTTACAGGTAATTAAAGGTTTTGAAATTTTATGAACTGCCATTGGAATGCTGTTTTCTTTAAAATATTATGATCCACAACTGTGGTTTTAGTGTACCTAAAATACATATTGCACTGTTATTTTCCCTTTAAAAAAAATATGGGAATTTATCATTTTTTTTCTTTGAGGTACTTGGTCAAAAAAAGGAAAATACTAAATTTTCATAGAGTAAAAGCTTCCTATATAAATTTATGTAAAATAAGACTTCTCAGAAATATTTCAGGATAAAGACTGTGTAATTTCAGTCAGTTTAATCTAACGGACATAAAATACATATTTAAAGCTAGCTGAAAGTACACATATGTCGAGTGCAGCTAAGTGTTATTATACCCCATGCAACAAGTTGCGTGAGGTATAATGTTTTTGACCCGTCCATCAGTCAGTCAGTGTGTCAGTCAGTCAGTCCGTCAGTCCTGTTTTTTGTCAGCACAACTCCTCATAAACCACTGTACAGAATTTCGTCAAACTTTGCAGATATTTAGGACACAATGTGTAGATATGCATATTACCAGGAAATTCTGATTCCTTTATTTTTTCTGGGAATTTCAGCACTTTTCAACTTAGATTTTTGGCCATATCTTGAATATAGAGATGAAAGTTTGCCAGCACAACTCCTCTTAAACCGCTGCACAGAATTTGGTCAAACTTTGCAGATATTTAGTACACAGTGTGTAGATGTGCATATTACCAGGAAATTCTGATTCCATTATTTTCCTGGGAATTTCGGCACTTTTCAACTTAGATTTTTGGCCATATCTTGAATATAGAGATGAACAGTTTGTCAGCACAACTCCTCTTAAACCACTGCACAGAATTTGGTCAAACTTTGCAGATATTTAGGACACAATGTGTTGATGTGCATATTACCAGGAAATTCCGATTCCATTATTATTCTGGGCATTTTGGCACTTTCAACTTAGATTTTTGGCCATATCTTGAATATAGAGATGAACTGTTTGTCAGCACAACTCCTCTTAAACCACTGCACAGAATTTGGTCAAACTTTGCAGATATTTAGTACACAGTGTGTAGATGTGCATATTACCAGGAAATTCCGATTCCATTATTTTTCTGGGAATTTTTGGCACTTTTCAACTTAGATTTTTGGCCATATCTTGAATATAGAGATGAAATTTGTCAGCGCAACTGATCTTAAACTGCTGTACAGAATCTGGTCAAACTTTGCAGATATTTAGTACACAATGTGTAGATATGCATATTACCAGGAAATTCTGATTCCTTTATTTTTTCTGGGAATTTCAGCACTTTTCAACTTAGATTTTTGGCCATATCTTGAATATAGAGATGAAAGTTTGCCAGCACAACTCCTCTTAAACCGCTGCACAGAATTTGGTCAAACTTTGCAGATATTTAGTACACAGTGTGTAGATGTGCATATTACCAGGAAATTCTGATTCCATTATTTTCCTGGGAATTTCGGCACTTTTCAACTTAGATTTTTGGCCATATCTTGAATATAGAGATGAACAGTTTGTCAGCACAACTCCTCTTAAACCACTGCACAGAATTTGGTCAAACTTTGCAGATATTTAGGACACAATGTGTTGATGTGCATATTACCAGGAAATTCCGATTCCATTATTATTCTGGGCATTTTGGCACTTTCAACTTAGATTTTTGGCCATATCTTGAATATAGAGATGAACTGTTTGTCAGCACAACTCCTCTTAAACCACTGCACAGAATTTGGTCAAACTTTGCAGATATTTAGTACACAGTGTGTAGATGTGCATATTACCAGGAAATTCCGATTCCATTATTTTTCTGGGAATTTTTGGCACTTTTCAACTTAGATTTTTGGCCATATCTTGAATATAGAGATGAAATTTGTCAGCGCAACTGATCTTAAACTGCTGTACAGAATCTGGTCAAACTTTGCAGATATTTAGTACACAATGTGTAGATGTGCATATTACCAGGAAATTCCGATTCCTTTATTTTTCTGGGAATTTCGGCACTTTTCAACATAGATTTTTGGCCATATCTTGAATATAGAGATGAACAGTTTGTTAGTGCAACTCCTCATACATGTAAAATGCTGCACAGAATTTGGTCAAACTCTGCAGATATTTAGTACACAGTGTGTAGATGTGCATATTACCAGAAAATTCCAATTCCATTATTTTTGCCTGAAGAGTTTTGCCTATTATTGAAGAAACTTTCCAGCTAGGTAATAAGAAACTCCACTGGAATTAGCTTTTTATAATGAAATTCTATGTGAAATATTTTATAACCTTAAAAAAACCCTATTGATTTTGAGATCAAAATATTAATGGTTTAACACACACACACACATAAAATCTTCACTAGTTCTCACCCCCCCCCCCCCCCTCCCTTCAAATTGGTGTGCTTTGCCTTAAATAATTTCATAAGTACAGTATATAAACAAATTCACATGACTACATCATAATTTTGTTTCCATCAATTATTTAAATGTGTAAATTGTCATGTGTTGGACATGGACTTAAACTCATTAACAAATCGAAATCACTGAGGAATTTAAATAACAGTTTGTCAGCATAACTCCGGCACTGAATTTCCTGAAACTTTGTAGGTATTTCAGAATAATGTATAGATTTGTATATTACCAAGAAATTTTGATTCCATTATTTATCTAGAAACTTCAGCCCCATTAAATTTGTAACATACAAAGATTTGAATGTCCTTATATGCAAAAAGTTTTGATGTGATGATTTTTTGCAAGTAATGCCCCTTTTTTTAACTATACTGTGTATTTAAAATGCACTGTGCCATTCATTACATGTTGCATTGTCAAGTTTTGGGGGAGCGTGGGGTATGTGAGCTTGCTCACTTTTTCTTTCATTGCTAAATGACTGGGTTTTTTTTCCAGGAGTGACAGAACACGATGGATTGATGCACTCTCACCCACTGCCAAAGAATCTGACAGCGAGAAAATTTATGAGGAGTGGGGTATGTGTAATCCTGATCACATTCTGCTCTCATTGAACATTTAAAAGACGTGTTTAGGATCCGAATTTAGCATTTAAAATCATTTTATAAACATTTTTTAAAAACTCAGTGTCTGAAAATTAAACAGTTTTACCATTGTACATTAATAAAGCAAGTACAGCTAGTGCTTTTGACAAACAAAACTTTTGTCATTGGTAACATTTTGATGATCAAATTTCCTGATCTATGATGTATTAGAGAGTGATTTGTGGTTGATATATCTTCCTGCTAGGGCCTTGTCAGATGGTATGTAACGCTTGATCAATGCTTCCCCGACCCCTGACCCTGCTTGTTTCAACCACAATGACCACACCCTTGTCCCGAATATGACCCAGACATAGTTATTAAAAGTATATATGTAGTCATTAATCAACTGTATGTGATTGACAGCCTACTGAATGGTTTGATTAATTCAGAATATGACTCCATATCATGCATGACTCTTTCTTAAAGAAGTTTATGACTCTTTTTTTAGGTCACCTGAGTCACTCAGGTGACCTATTGCTATCCGTTCTCGTCCGTCGTCGTGCGTTAACATTTGAACATTTTTAGCTTCTTCTCTGAAACCGCTTAACCAATTTCAACCAAATTTGGCATATAGCATCTATGGGTGAAGGGAAACAAAAATTGTGAATTTCATGGTCCCTGCCCCCCTGGGGCCTGAGGGGTGGGGCTAAAACCACCAAAAATAATGCAATCTTTAAAAATCTTCTTCTTTACTCCTGGACATCAAGCAGTCAAACTGTTGGCATCATTGTAATAAGCATTGAGCCCTCTACCAAAATTGTGAAATTCATGGCCCCAGGGTCAGGGGTTCTGCCCCAGGGTGGGGCTATATAGATCATATAGTGAAAGTGCATTATTTCTTTGAAAATCTTCTTCTCTGCTCCTGGGTATTAAATAAGGTAATTAAGTACATAGTTATGAAGAGCAAGAGTGCCTCTTCCAAAATTGTGAAATTCATGGCCCTAGGGTCAGGGGTTCTGGTGTTAGGGCGGGGCTCTATAGATTATATAGTGAAAATGCATTTATTCTTTGAAAATCTTCTTCTCTGCTCCTGGGTATTAAATAAAGTAACTAAGTACATAGTTATGATGAGCAAGAGTGCCTCTTCCAAAATTGTGAAATTCATGGCCCCATGGTCAGGGGTTCTGGCCCCAGGGTGGGGCTATATAGATCATATAGTGAAAGTGCATTATTTCTTTGAAAATCTTCTTCTCTGCTCCTGGGTATTAAATAAGGTAACTAAGTACATAGTTATGATGAGCAAGAGTGCCTCTTCCAGAATTGTGAAATTCATGGCCCCAGGGTCAGGGGTTCTGGTGTTAGGGCGGGGCTCTATTGATTATATAGTGAAAATGCATTAATTCTTTGAAAATCTTCTTCTCTGCTCCTGGGTATTAAATAAAGTAACTAAGTACATAGTTATGATGAGCAAGAGTGTCTCTTTCAAAATTGTGAAATTCATGGCCCCAGGGCCAGGGGTTCTGGTGTTAGGGCGGGGCTCTATAGATTATATAGTGAAAATGCATTAATTCTTTGAAAATCTTCTCCTCTGCTCCTGGGCATTAAGGTGATAAACTAAGTACATAGTTATGATGAGGAGGTGGGCCCCTTCCAGAATTGTGAAACCCATGGCCCCTGGGTCAGGGGTTCTGGTGATAGGGCAGGGCTCTATTGATTATATAGTGAAAATGCATTAATTCTTTTAAAATCTTCTTCTCTGCTCCTGGGTATTATTTAAACAAACTTAGTGCATGGTTATGATGCATAAGGATGCCTTTTCAAAAATTGTGAATTTCATGGCCCCAGGGTCAGGGGTTCTGGTGTTAGGGTGCGGCTCTATTGATTATATAGTGAAAATGCATTGATTCTTTGAAAATCTTCTTCTCTGCTACTGGAGATTATTTAAACAAACTAAGTGCATGGTTATGATGCATAAGGATGCCTTTTTAAAAATTGTGAATTTCATTGCCCCAGGGTCAGGGCTTCCGGTGTTAGGGCGGGGCTCTATTGATTATATAGTGAAAATGCATTGATTCTATGAAAATCTTCTTCTTTGCTACTGGAGATTATTTAAACAAACTAAGTGCATGATTATGATAGGCAAGGATGCCTCTTCCAAAATTTTTAAATACATGGCCTCAGTTTTTGGGGTTCTTGAGGAGGGGGGAGGGGGGCTCTATTGATTATATAGTGAAAATACATTAATTCTATTAATTAATCATTAACTAATCCTGTATGCTCCTTAGTGTTGAGCTGATAAATAAATTGCTTAGCTATGATGAAGATGGGAGCTTCGAACAGAATTTTTAAATCTTGTGGTCCTAGGGTCAGGGGTTCTGGCATAACGAGGAAAGGGGGGGGGGGGGGGGCTTTTGATAATATAGTGGAAAAGTGTTAATTCTTTGAAGTCCATAGTTATGATGATGAGGGTAACTCTTCCAAATTTGTAAATTTCTTGACCTTTGGTCTTGGGTTCTGGTGTTAGGGTAAGGCTTTGTTGAATCTGTAGTGAAAATGCATTGTACCTGTGAAATTCTTCTCTGCTTCTGGGCATATCGAAAGCAAACTGAGTAAAAGTTTAAATGATATAAGTAAGCGTATTTCTACCAGATTTTTGAACATCTGGACAATTCGTCTAAGCATTCTGGTCCTGGGCAGGGTTCTATTAATTTGTATTCTACTGAGAGAAGTTATTCCCCTTTTCCATTCATCTTTGATAATTAATCACTGTAAATAATGTTTTTGAAAGGTTAATAGAATAAGATAATTATGCAAGAATGTTTATTGTATAATTCAAAAAGTACTTTCTTAGTTTTAATAATCAGGTAGACCTGTAAGTAATAGATAAATAAAAACGAGACAAAAATAACTTATCTTATTAAAAGTTCTTCAAAGACCATAAGAGAGGTCAATGCTAGAGGTCTTAATATGGGTTTAAAAAAAGTACAGAAGCACTAATAGTTTGTTAATAGTCTGCATGGTGATAATGTTAAGTGGGGGACAGATTAGAACTTAAGTAATGAGTTGATACTGAATACTAGACTAATTATTTTGTTGATCCTGATCTTCCTACTTCTCTTGCTTTAGGGCAACAAAGCTTCATCCCTCAGTGTATTTAACTTCTAAATTGTTGTATTATACTCGGGTGACCGTTAAGGACCTTGGGCCTCTTGTTTCTTTTTTTTTTCGTTCTTTTTTTTTTTTTTTTTTGCATTATTGGTTGACTATTAATGGTTAATTTTGATTTTTGGGATTGATGATTAAGTTAAGGACAGAGCTTAGCATCCAGAAAGGTTACTCATACACACACCGACTTGAATGACAGTATAGTGGTGCAAGCTGATGCATTCCTTCCATGCATTTTACATGATTACAATGTTCAAGCTTTGCAATGTCCAAGAGCAACTGCATTTGAAAATATACAGTAGATACCCTTTCCGTTTTAATACATCTGAAAAGTTTTAACAGTTTGGCTGTTTAATATTCTTGCCACAATTTATGTCATATGTGTAATGCTGCATGTAATTTATTACATCTGTTTAACTTAACACATTGTCCTTCACAGATTGTCCACAGGTACAGTGTATAAAGCGATTTAATGCCACAGAACCTGATGAATTAGGGCTGGAGGAATCCGATGTTGTCAATGTCTTCAAGAAAATGGGTGATGGTAGGTTGAAAGTGGGAAAGTTTAATGATGATTACCTGTACTGTACTACTTCGTATGTTCAGTTGATATACTATTCTCTGTTGTGAAGCCTCAATCTTTCTTACAAGAAATTATGTTTTTAACTTATACTTTTTTATTTTTCCCTCTGTTTCAAGTACTGAAGAATATAATTTTTCTCCTTCCATATAATATACTCAAGGTTCTCTGGATATAATGTTAATGATTAATCTATTTTTATTTGTTAACACTAGGTTGGTACGAAGGTGAGAGAATTCGTGATGGGGAGAAGGGCTGGTTCCCTTCAGATCACACAGAGGAGATCATGAACTCACATGTGAGATCGAGAAATCTCAGACTGAGATATCGTCTCATGTTAGCCTCCTCACAGGAATATAGCAATGCAAGTGTTCAGGGTGGAATGATCAAAACATGAAAAACTTTAATGTGTGGATGGATGCCATTTACAGTTGTAACAGAAATGGTTCAGGATGTGTGTAGGAACAGGGCCCTGATACATGTTTATCAAGGTGTGTTCATTTCATAAATAGATTCATGACAAAATCATGTTCTACAACACATTTTGGTGGTGAAACGATGACATGCTGACTAAAATATTCTGTGATTTTGCAAACTTATGGTGCTTATGGGCTTTTGTGTGTGTGTGAGAGACATGTGCAAATCCTGCTTGTTTTGTATTTACATTTTCAACACAAATTTAAAAATTTCATGTAAAATGAATATCAAAGTACTTATACACTATGAGGTAGACATAACAAGAAGATTTTGTCTACAACTAGAAAGCCAAAGAGTGATCTGCCTTACTTATCATTTGATGGCAGACCGAGAAGTGCCACAGAAATCAGTTTCTCAAAATGTGTCAGACTCCATGTTCTCTGGTCTGTAAGACCGCAGTGTGTGTATGCTATGTTGTAAAAGTGAGGAATTTTTTTTTTTTTACCAAATTATTTAATAATCTGGGAAGAACATGTTTTATTAATTGATTGATTCAGAACTTTTTGTATTACATGTATTACTGTTGTATACTCAACTTTGTGATGAGAGATTCAGACTTGCTCATTAACCTCGTACTTTAGTGAAAAAGTACTTTGATTAGTACATACTGGTTTTTATTGTAATATAGCACAAGTAGCTAGTTATAGATAGAAATGTCATAATTTGTTTATATTTTTGTTTTGTCACTTGTGAGTTTACATTCCGTGTATTGGGCTATGAACTAAAGAGAGATTACCCTAGTCATAATCAGTTTGCAGTGTTAATGCTGTATAAGATGATGAAATGTGTGCAGGCTTTTTTACATTAATCAAGACTGTCTTATCCTCATTATCACCTGCTAATCTCTGTGAAATGCTAGTTTGTATAAGTGCATTTTTATGGGGGTAAATATTTTGTACACAAATACATTGAACAGCCATCCATGTGATCCACTGACGGTGCTTTATATCACATCCATCAAGTAAATTCATTTTAGAGAAAAACAACTTTAATTTTTAGAATGAATAAATCATATCTTTTCACCACATTTATCTAAAATATCATGTACAGTTTTATGTTTTTTATTTTGGTTCTGTCAGCAATTCTCAGATTTATGAAAACATATTCATTAAAGTTACTGACTGTTTTTATATCATTGTAATTCTTTTCGGGTACCTTCAGACTTAAACTAATTTACAGGCAATATTCTATTTTATGTAAAGCTTTTATTTCTTATATGGTATTATATATACATATATATATTCAACACCTGTTATTATCATTTTTTAATGACAGGAAATAAAAGTTATGAAATATAATTACAAGCTGTGCATTTCTTTATTTTTTTTTATGCCCCCGCCATGAAATGACTGGGGCATATAGTGTTACCCCTTTACATCCATCATTCTGTCATTAAGTCAACATTAGCTATCCAGGTTTTTTTTTTCAAGGTTCCCTCGTATGAACTTAATCATACATGTTACATAGGAAAAATCTTCTTCTCAAGAACAACTAAGCCATTATTACTCATATTTATATAGAAGCAACCTTAAGTATTGTAGATGTTTGTTCAAATTATGACGGGGGGGGGGGGGGGGGGGGGGGGGCACAACAGAGGGTCACAGTTTTACATATTAAGAACATTTAGGAAGCGTCTTGAAAAAAAATCTTCTGCTCAAGAAAAGCAAAGCCATGATTAGTCATATTATTACAGAATCATCCTCAGATAGTGTGGATTCAATTTTGTTCAAATTTAGGGTGGGAAGGGTGGGGCCACAATAAGTGATCAGAGTTTTACGTAGGAAACAGAATCTTTAAATTCTTCTGCTCAAGAACAACAAAGCCATGACTAGTAATATTGATATGGAACCATCCTGAGGTAGTGTAAATTTAAGTGTCCCCATCCTCCCTGTAAACTTGTCAATACTGAACTGATTTTTCCTAGCCAATGTGTTCAGGTGAGCAATGTGGCCCATGGGCCTCTTGTTACAAAATCATGGCCCTTAAGAACCCTCTATACACTGCACACTAAAGAATTCCAATTCCATGGTGTTTTTATGCAGTGAGAGTGATCTGCCCTTAGATCTAAAATGAAATAAATTGGAATCTAAATTTATTATTCAATTTATAATCAATTCAAACATTCTAAACATTTCATTTGGTCTAGTTGAATTAATTGAACGCCTTATTTGCATGTATTTTTGCCATTTAAGTAAGTAACAGTGATTTCAGTTCATCAACAATTCATTGTCTTTGAATATTTTTCCTGGGGATAAATAGCAAGTACCTTATGTTGAAAATTAAATAGATAAACTCCATATTTATATCTTTATATGATATAATTTTCTCAGAGCCTAAAAAAACATTTTTCATTGGTGTATAGAGGGTCCTTAAAATTTCTAATTATTCACCATTTTGGACCTTTTTTATTGTTTTGTTTGTAAGTGATCACCATTCATGCAGCTTAACTATGTTGTGAACTTGTGATATAGATAACACTCCAGAAATTTAAAGCAGCAGTATGATGTTTATTTTTGTGCCATTTCCACCCATTGTTATTTTCACATACTTGGAATTTCACATATTTAAAACTTGCATGTCAGTAGGGACATTTGCCACCCTGACAAATGTAGTATTTAGCTCTACTGGTCAGAGACCAGAAGAGCTCATGCGATAGTAAGGTGTCTGTCGTCCGTCTGTCTGTCCGTCCGTCTGTAAACAATTTTTCAAAACGCTACCCCTCCTACAGTTTTGGTCTGATTTCAATATAACTTGGCATATAAGTACACTACACTAAGGTACATAATTCTGTGTATCGGTTTTTAATTTCGATGAATGGCGTTGCCATGGTTACTAAAAATAGAGATTTCTGGGAAATACTTTCAAACGCTACTCTTCCTACTGTTTTGGTCTGATTTCAAAAAAACTTGGCCCTCAAGTAGACTACATAAAGATACATAATTCTGTGTATCGGTTTTTAATTTCGATGAACGGTGTTGCCATGGTTACTAAAAATAGAAATTTCCTTGAAAAACTTTCAAAACGCTACTTCTCCTACAGTTTTGATCTGATTTCAATAAAACTTGGCATATAAGTAGACTACTCTAAGATACATAATTCTTTATATCAGTTTTTAATTTCGATGAACGGTGTTGCCATGGTTACTAAAAATATAAATTTCTCTGTAATACTTTCAAAATGCTACTCTTCCTACAGTTTTGGTCTGATTTCAGTATAACTTAGCACACGTCAAGTAGACTACACTAAGATACATAATTCTGTACATCGGGTTTTTTTTTTATTCCGATGAATGGTGTTGCCATTGTTACATAAAATAGAAATTTCCTTGAGATACTTTCAAAATGCTACTCCTCCTACAGTTTTGATCTGATTTCAGTACAACTTGGCACACAAGTAGACTACACTAAGATACATACATTGTAATTCTATTTACTGGTTTTCGATTTCGATGAACGGTGTTGCCATGGTTACTAAAAATAAATTTCTGTGAAATACTTTCAAAATGCTACTCTTCCTACAGTTTTGGTCTAGTTTCAGTATAACTTGGCACACAAGTGGACTACACTAAGATATATACATAATTGTCTTTATTGTTTTTTGATTTTGTTGAATGATGTTGCCATGGTTAATTAAATCGTAATTTCTGTAAAATTCTTTCAAAAGGCTACTCCTCCTACAGTTTTAGTCTGATTGCAATAAATCTTGCCACAAAAAGAGACTAAACCAAGGATCATTATTCTATTTATTGCTGTTGCAAAGTTTCAAGTCCAAGTGCTACTTTTATCTTCCTTCGTTATAAGTACAAACCAGTAGAGCTACAGTCTCGTCAGAGACTTCTGGTTTTAATTTAATTTAATTTAATGTAATATAATTTTGGGGTACAGGTAAAAAGTCACAACGGGAAAATTTGAAGAGTAAGCAGGGAGACATCCTCACAATGTCAAGGTTTTGTAATTCTGGAACTCCACACAAACCCTTGACATAAGTCGCTACTTAAAAGTTGGGTTTGTGGTTACACATGACGTAATAGATAATTATAAACTAACCAGTGAGAATGTATTTTTCAAATCCGTCGTTTTCAAATGGTCCAACTCCAGAGCATATCTTTTGTTACTGTTAGGATGACGATCTTCCAAAAATTAATCCCCGATGTTTCACAAATCCTACAATATCGACTCTTTCCATTTTAAAGACGAGTCATATTTGTTTACAAAACTCACCTACAAGAAAAGCTGTTTTCTGATTGGTTCCAGTCCTAGACCAGGAACAAATGAAATGATAGCTTTCTAGCCCAACTTTAAGATAACGACTTATGTCAAGGGTTTGTGTGGAGTTCCGGAATCACAAAACCTTGACATTGTGAGGATGGCAGGGAGAGGGAAGGCAGTAACCCCCTCTTTACTGAGAAAATCGGTGAATAAAGGGAAAACCCTTATATCAAGTTTTTAAATGGTCTGAGTTTGTATTGCTATTTAATTTTCTTTAAAATTTTGTATTTGTACTTTTTTCAATGCTCTTGTTCATTGGAATAGAACATTGAAACACAACACCCTTATCAAGGAAAACAACATCTAGAATACTAGTACTTATGTATGTTTTTGCCTCTGACAGCGCAATAAGTGGACGTTTTCTGTTTTCAATACTTTATTAAATTATATTTGGAACTGAAAGTAATGCATCCAAGCTTTATCTCCCATTACTTAATCTGAAAGTGTTCGATTTTTCCCCTTCAAATAGTCTAATCATTTTTATTTCACATGACACACACAGCTTCCGTTTCTCATACATTCCCATCTCCCTTAATCTTACTGTATCCGAGGTATATTGTAAGAATTTTATGACCTGCTGCCATTGATATCCCTACTTTATAAGCTGTTCCCCTCTTTTTCTTCCCAATCCGTTATTTTCAATTTTGTTTTGGGAGTACTAACCGTTTAATTTTTTCTCTCCAAGATTGTGTATTAGGGAAATAATGTGTAGTTTTTATAATTTGTTAAGTATATAAAGAAGTAATTTACATAATTATTTATTCATTCATATTTATAAGTGCTAAGTATTATAACGGCTCTCATTTTGAGTTTTGGAATTTTTATTGTATTTGAGAGGGAGTCACTAGCTGATGAACTGAGATTTATTTCTTTGTAAATGAGGAAATAGTAACGGCGGCAGAAAGGGTATAAAAGTAGTTAAAGCACAACAAACAATTAATCTGGCAAAAACCCGCTGAAATCCAAAATAAACAGCTTAAAAGTCCATTCAAACAATACAAATCAGGAGCAGAGCAAACAGGGACCTCTAAAACATCAGAGGTGGGATCGGGTGCCATGAAGGAGTGAGCATTCCCTGACGACCGGTCACACCCGCCGTGTGCTCTTGTCATGATCAGGAAATAACGGGAAAATCCGTGGACAAATCAGTGGGTAAATAATGGCCTAACAATTAGTATGAAAAACGTCAGTCAGCATTTGACTTAAAGATAGATTGTATTTGCTGACAAGGTCATTGTATCGACCATGGAACTTACGAAATGATGGCTTTAAACGAGACTGTTGGTATTCTGGTTTCATCAACTTGTTTGTCATTAATTTACCTCGTTTTAGAAATTGTTCATACGTAGAGCATGCTCTTCCGTATCGAATCAACTGAGAGATATAAACTCCATGTGATGAGGTATATTGCTGCATAGGTAAGGGGGGGGGGGGTGGGTATAAAGCTGCATATAAAGAGGGAGGGGTCCTGCTTACAATTTTCGTTGCAGTGACGTCCCAGTCAATCAATTTCAGCTGTTCCTAAGGCTGTATGCAAAGTAAGATCTTAGATACGGGGAAGGGGGTTATTAAAGGATCACTGTAGAATTATCAGTTTTATTAATTTCATATAATAAAGTAGCATAAAGAATAACTTAAGACCCTTTACTAAAAATTTAAACAAAACCGCCTTCCACATACGATACCACAATTACTTTTTTAATTGTTATTTTTTGAAGGTCTTTATATTTTGTATTTGTTCCCCTCCCCAAGCTCTCTTCCCCCACCCACCAAACCACGTCACAAATTTGAATTTCTTGTTGATTTGGACACCCCCCCCCCCCCCAAATCACACACAAAATCATTCAAAATTATTTTCTTGTTTGTCTCCCTTGTTCTATTGTCTAGGGTGCATCATAAATCAATAATAAAATAGAGTAAAACATGTCTAATTCGGACACCACTGGTTTCAAGGAAATTGGCCGGATCATGCAACATTCATATGAGGGGACATTTTGGTATTTACTGCCATTAAGTGATATCACCCATTCGAATAGGTGATATCACCTATATTCAATAGGGATATCACCTATTCGAATTAGTGACATCACCTATTCAGCTTTTGAATTGATGGTATCACTTAAATTCGAATAAGTGATACCACTTATTCGAATAGGTGATATCATCTATTTGATTTGAGTTGGTGATTCACCTATTTGTATAAGTGATATCACTTATTCGAATAGGTGATACATGTATTACCTATTTGAATTAGTGATATCACCTTTATGATATGAATAGGTGATATCACTTATTCAAATAGGTGATATCACTTATGCAAATAGGTTATATCACCTATTCATTTTGTTGTTGTTTAACGTCCCTCTCGAGAATTTTTCACTCATATGGAGACGCCACCACTTGCCGGTGGAGAGATGCAAATATTGACCTATGCTCGGCACTCAGGGCCATTGAGCAGTGAGGGATCTTTTTTGTGGCAGCACCTACTGCGACACGGGACCTCGGTTGATATGGTCTCATCCGAAGGACCGGTCTCCACGTCCCACAGTGGGATTCGAACCCGCGACGTAAGGATCAACTCTTTACTCCGCGACTCTAGAGCAGACGCTCTACCACTGCGCCACGTGGGCGACATTCAATGTTGTAAGAAATACAAATAAGTGATATCACCTATTCGAATAGGTGATATCACCAATTCAAAACGTATAGGTGATATCACCTATTCCAGTAAGTGATATCACTTAAGGGCAATAAATACCAAGACGGCGCTTCATACATCCGGACTAGATTTTGCTTCATAAACTTCAGAGGCACTTGTAATTTTCTGTTTTCGTCCATTGTCGTGCGTTGCGTGTTAACATTTAAACATTTTCAGCTTCTTATCTGAAACCACTGAACCAATTTCAACCAATTTTGGCATATAACAACTATGGGTAAAGGGGAGTAAAAATTGTGGATTTCATTGCCCTGCCCCCCCCCCCACCCCCCACCCCCTGGGCCTGAGGGGTTGAGCTTAAACCATCAAAATAAATACAATCTTTAAAAATCTTCTTCTTTACTCTTGGGCATCAAGCAGCCAAACTGTTGGCATGATTGTAATCAGCATTGAGCCCTCTACCAAAATTTTGAATTACATGGCCCCTGGGTCAGGGGTTCTGGTGTTAGGGCGGGGCTCTAATGATTACATGTATATAGTGAAACCGCATGAATTCTTTGAAAATCTTCTCCTCTGCTCCTGGGTATTAAACCAATGAACTATGTACATAGTTATGATGAGGAAGGATGCCTCTTCCAAAATTGTGAATTTCATGGCCCCTGGGTCAGGGGTCCGGGGCTTTAATGATTATATAGAGAAAATGCATTCAAATTGACACATGCATCACCTATGACAAGTATTTCAATCAAAATGTACCATAATTTTAAGCCCATGACCTTGAAGTTTGACCTAATTTTCAAAAAATTTAACATTGCTGATAACTTTTGAATAAGAGAAGATATAGCATTTACATTAGACATGTGCATTACCTGTTTCAGGACCTTTCCGATTGTATACTCTGGTTTTTGATGGGGTTTTTTCACATGTGCCTTACGTGTGACAAGGCCTTTATTCTTAATATTTCTTTTCTGTAAGTTTTATGTTTCCTAGATTTTATCCATAGATTTAAAAGGTAAAAAAAAAGTGTTTTTTTTTTTTTTTTTATAAAAAATAGAAATACATGTATCTGTGAAATTCCTTTAAAATGCTACTCCTCCTACAGTTTTGTTCTGATTTCAATATAACTTGGCACACAAGTAGACTACACTAAGATACATAATTTAGTGCATCGGTTTTTGATTTCGATGAACGGTGTAGCCATGGTTACTAAAAATAGAAATTTCTGTGAAATTCCTTTAAAATGCTACTCCTCCTACAGTTTTGGTCTGATTTCGATATGATTTGGCATACAAGTAAACTACATTAAGATACATAATTTAGTGCATCAGTTTTTGATTTTGATGAACGGTGTTGCCTTGGTTACTAGGAATTTCTGTGAAATTCCTTTAAAACATTACTCCTCCTACAGTTTTGGTCCGATTTCAATATAACTTGGCACACAAGTAGACTACACTAAGATACATAATTCAGTGCATCGGTTTTTGATTTCGATGAACGGTGTTGTCATGGTTACTAAAATTAGAAATTTCTGTGAAATTCCTTTAAAACGCTACTCCTCCTATAGTTTTTGTTTGATTTCAATATAACTTGGCACACAAGTAGACTACATTAAGATACATAATTCTATTTATTGCTGCATGTTGCAAAGTTTCAAATCCAAGTGCTACTTTTTCTTTGTACATGTATATGTACAGACCAGTAGAGCTACAGTCTCATCAGAGACTTCTGATTAAGAAATAATTATAAGATTAACAGTTAATAGTGCGAGCAAGACAACCTTGATATTTTGTCTAAACTAAATCATTAACTTGAATACACCAGTCTTTTAATGTTGAAATTAAAGAGGTACTGTAAAGATCCGTAAATAAAATTTTAGTATAACACTAAACATAGCTACAACGCTGACCACGTGTTCCTTTGATGGATGCTATCTCTTTATGGCATTTATTGTACTTACCTTCTATGTGGACGCCCAATTTAAAAGTTAATAAATTCCATGTGCTGAATATACATTTATGACCAGTACCTTAAGGAGGCTTGACCAACAGCCGACGATAAAACTTGACTGTCTGTTCCATTCAATCCACTGTACTGACAATTACAAGCGAATATAATCAAATTATTTTGTTGTTGGTGTTTTTTTGTTTGTTTGGGTTTTTTTTTGTTTGTTTGTTGTTTTTTTTTTTGGTCCATTTAATTTTTAATACACATAGTAGAAAAAATAACGTCTCTTTGTTTACAAAAAAGAAATTATATTTCCAATACCCTTTTTAATGTTGCTGATTGATCTGTTTATTCATTTGCGTAAAAAAATCATCTTAAGGACTGAAATGTGAATGTTGTACAAAACAATGATATCAACTGAAATGAGTTACAAATTTGGCACGGATTTTACATGAGATGCATGGCAGCAAATCAGTAATGGATTTGTTCATCTTTATTTCTTTACTGACAACTATTTGGGTCCACAATTTGCTTTACATAAAAGTTTTATCTGAAAGCAATCTACGGTCAATAGCCTAACACACATAAAAGAATAATATCCTGTTTGATATTGCATCTTCCCTGTTTTAAAGCGTTGATCAAAGTAAAAGAGGAATTCTTTTGACAGTTCAGGCATCAGATACGTCATACAAATCATTATTGTAGCTAGCGCCCTCTGTCGGGTGACTTTGCTCCGTATCCACGTAACCGTCATTGTGATGTTCATGTCTCACTGGCGTCTCGTAGCCAGTGGCGCCCTCATCTGGCAGACTGTAAGGATTAGCACTAGCAAAATGTCGTGCTGGCAGTGATATTTCATGATAAGGTTGTTCTTCGTGTGAAATACAACTCTCGTCTGGCACGTCGTATAAATGCAATTTCTTTTCGTAGCTAGCCTCGTAGGCTGGCGGCATTGTTTTCTCAAATTCCACAGTTTTTGTGCACGTTTCCATGTTTACTGTGGGTTTATATTTCTTTGGTGTGATGTCAGCTGTATCGTAATGGTTTTCTTGTCGCTCACTTTGGTAACGTATGGAACTAATGTTGTTTCTTTGGTTGTCTAATTCTTCGTATTGTGGAGGGGGTTCTCCTATCGTACCGTTTAACACTAAATGTCTGCTCTGGCTTTGGTCGCGCTGGAATGGGTTAAGAGCCCGTATAACATAGGTTACATTGTCAAAAGTGACAGTATATTCTTGATTTGGTAACTCTTTTCGTCTGTAATAAAAAGCATGACGTTTAAGGTTTTATTGCAAATATATGGCTATCACTTCTTTTAGAGTGACTATAGTAAATTGTCCAAATATGTGTATTGTGTTTTTTATCACCTTAGCTAGGAGTATTTAAGGTAAGTTAAATTGTTTTTAACAGAAAAAATAAAGAAGTAGCTAGGAAGAATCTATAAAACTTGCCTTCTTCTGACGACAATCACAGCACACAGGAAGCCGCCAATAAAGGCCACAAGAAGCAGCGAAACAATAATACCCGCTATCTCTCCTATAATATATAGAAATATTAATGATGGACAGAGAAACAATGATCCCCGCTATCTCTCCTATAATATATAGAAATATTAATGATGGACAGAGAAACAATGATCCCCGCTATCTCTCCTATAATATATAGAAACATTAATGATAAGTTCTATGATGTTTATTATAAAATTCTTATCAACAGATATTCTATAATAAAACATACCTCCGCTTAGGTTTTTATCATCCGGATTCTGTCTAACTGCTGAAAAAAAGGACTGTATATTAGAAGATAAACCAATACTAAAATATTGGGGAAAAAATAGATGAATATTTTGAAGGAAAAGGCAAAGTAGACACAGTAGGATACTAGATGAAAAAATATGGCTCTCTGGGATAAAAAAAAAAAAAATCAGGATTTTCGTAGGGGAAATCCTAAAGTCATTTTTCCGGGGGGGGGGGGGGTTCCTACTCTAAAGCCTATTTTCCGGGTGGAAATCCTACTCTAGAGCCAGTTTTCCGGGGGGAAAGATATTAGAGGGGAAAACCTACTCTACAAGACCGGTACTCTGTTATCATTTACATATTCTGGCATCATTTGCATACTCTGGCATCATTTACATACTCTGGTATGTCCATTGGCGGATCCAGACCGAAGGGGGGGGGGTCCGGGGGTTGGAACCTCTCTCCTTTATTTTTGCCACGTGGAGAGAGAGAGGGGGGAGAAAACATGTTTTCTGGAAAAGATATTTTTTACGTCTTATACTCTTGGAATATTTATAAACGTAGTTCAAAACAACTCGATCGGCAATCTTTGTCTATTCCACTTATACTAGACAGCTAGAGTCTCGCGTATTTCTTTTCATTCGTTTATCTTCATCCCCCAACCGTTTCACAAAGCGTTTTCATTTATGAGTGACTGATAGAAAATATACATGTATTACTACATTCAATACACGATTAGTAACATGCCAGATTTCAATTTGTTATCATTGAAATATTCTGGCGAAATTTTCTGAATTTGGCTATATCATTTTCGGACCATCTTCTCAGGGAACTAACTTAAATAAGTCATTAATTTCTTTCCCTGTGTATGTGAGTCTATGTTTGAATGTGCGTCGGGGGACCACCCTGGAAACCCCCTTTGAAAAATTGTTATATCCGCCCCCTGATGACTATACGAATACCTTGTTCCAAAGAGATACAGTTCTGCAGCTAAGTGTACATGTCCAATTACAATATGTATCAAAGAATACATGTACTATAATAATATAAATACAATGACATATGTCCTTGAATATCAAAAAAGAAAAAATGATGTGCCTGCTGTTATTATCCATACAGATTAGCTTAAAGACATATCTACAATAATAACTGAGAAATCCCGTGAGTCATAATCATAAGAAATACAAATATTTCTTGATAATTTTTTGTAATTTTTCTTTCAAACTATATCCTGTATTAAGCTTGAAGAGTTTCATTTCTTGACCTGAGTGACAAATACTTAAAAGCCAAAGGACAGGATGTATCTATAATTATATATAACCTTGACAACACGTCAATTCTTGACAGGCGAATACATGCACGCCATTCTAAATATAAATCTATATAATCGTATTCCACTACATGAATGCTTGTGTTGATACATATGATATAAACTATATTGACTAAAGTTTTAAAGGCTGAGCACGATTTCTAAAAATTAATCCCATTTGAAGGTCTGAAGTTCAGGGTATTTTGGTATTTGTTGGAATAAATATCGGAAAGGGATGCTAAAGAAGTCCATATAAACATCCACACACAGTTTTTAATTTTTTTTTTTTAAGTCAACCGGATTTCAAAACAGCTCAATAACATAAAAGGAAGTATTCCTGTCTAGTTTCTAAATAATTAAAATATTCAAAGTATTTTTGCTGATTTTGAAAGCTTCCAAGAATACATCAATAAAAAGCAATTTTTCAGGGAAAAATTCTTATTTTTAAACATATTCTTTCTATGTTTAATTTTTTCTTAATTTCTTATATAGTGAAGTATTCACAAAAACAAACAGCTTTGACCGTTTATTAGTCCGAAATATCTTACGTTTTCCAGGCGCTTTGTCACGATAGTTTTCCTGGCACGTAAAATACCAAAATCGTAAAAAAAAAAAAAAAAAAAACCTGGAAAACGTCAGATATTTCGGACTAACCGTTTACTTTATACCCTCACCTAGTGATATTGTCTTTCTGACATATTTTATTTTTTAAATAAAAATCTCGATTTGCAAAATAAAGACATAATCTTCCTCTTCAATGAGAATGTTTAAATATCCATTGTCAACAAAAGTCATCTTCCACATTACTTGTCAGTTTTATGCTATAATCCAAGATCTTTTAAAAATACTTGTGACCAAGAAGATAAATTACCTTGTAAAACTGATGGGTCCCCAGAATCACTACTTGTGCTTGGAGGTGTGGATGTAGTGGTAGAGGGGGCGGAGCTTGTTGACGTCAGTGGTATGGGCGTGGTTGTGGTGGTTGAAGTGGTTGTGGTGGACTTGGTTGTTGAAGTGGCCATGGTGGTTGTAGTGGGCGTGGTTTTGGTGGTGGGCGTGGTCGTAGTGGTGGGCGTGGTTGTAGTGGTGGGCGTGGTTGTTGTTGTTGTGGATGTTGTAGTTGTAGCAGGACCCATGTCTGTACCAAACAAAAAACGTAAATTTACAGCTTTATACCAGTATCCATATTTAGTTTACACTAACACGTTCTCTTTGGTTATTGTTTTAATGCTATTTGTTTTAATTTGTTAAAGACAAAATTATACAGAAACTAATACGCACAAAATTCACATATGAAAGAATAAGTGTAAGGAGGCAGACTGCAGTCGTAATCATGCCACCGTCCGTGGTCGTCCAGTCTGAGATTGGCACAGTCCTCCCCGCAGTAAAACAGGGTGCAGCCTCCGGGCTGGTCCGGGGCCCAGTTACTGTAGGTTAACGGATGCCCTAAAATAAAGAGTGGGGTTTCTCACTGTATGTAGGGTTTTTTTTATTATTATTATTATTTTTACATTGGTTACATATAACACAACAATTTTTTTGCTTTTGAAAACAACAAATCCATAAATTTAGCGAAACAAATTTGACGCCAGCAAAACCTCAGGACAGAGGACACTGCTCTGAAATGAAATACACAGTGTACTATCAACCTTACCAAGGTAACTCATTGAACGTGTCTCGACGTGTCAACATCTTAGTTCTAATATGGGTGCACAAAAATTAACAAAAAATAACGTATAAGAGTTCCTTATGATTGTCTAACATGTTAATAACTTAATACTTCTGTGTGCACTGATCGAACAGGAGGAAGAAGTTGTTTAAACCCCTTAGAGGACGACCATTTGTTTCTAAGGGGGGGGGGGGGGGCAAATTATGTCGAGTCAGATTAGTTATGTTCATGTCCTCCCAGGAGAAAAAGATATTTATTCCCAGGATGACCAAAGAAAGTTTATTTATTTTCTTCCCTAGAAAAGTGTAGACGTTGACAAGCAAGCAAGCAAGCAAAAAAATAAAAAAAAAGAAGAAGTAGAAGAAGAAAGTCTACCTAAACTCGAAAACTCTATTTCAAAGAGGGGGAGGATGTGTCATGGTCAGATTATTTATTTTCTTCCCAATGGAGGAAAGATAATTTATTTTCATCATTTTCAAGGATATATTACTATTTCCAAAGTATGCACACACACCCTTTTCCGTAATCAAATGGTTGTCCTCTTATCACATTAGCTTTTTTACGATCCCTTTACTGATTTATAACATTCTAATTCGAACGTTAACTGGAATGAGATCGGATGTTAGATGCGATAAGGTATTTGACATTTGTTTGTGTGTTTTAAATTTCAGGATTATAACTTAAATATTTCCAACAAATAATTGCATATATACATCTACTTATATACTGGTGTGTATGGGGCGGTATGGGAACATGATATTTAATTCTTTATGAAAGAAATCAACTCAGTGATATCATCAAACTTCTCCCCTCCCCCCCCCCCCCTTTTCTCTTCCTGGTTGAACTTAAAAGTTACATTCTTTTAAAAGTAATCAAGACTCTCCACTCTGGAAAAGGTCCCCAAATCTACACCTAAGTTAATAAACCTAACCTTCCACCCATTTCCAATGACCTTCAGCATCAAGGTCGTGCGCGCCGATCCATACGCCATTTCTGTTCCAGCTAAGGCTTCGGAGGGACTCCATGACGAATTGCTGAATCTGTGCTGTTCTGATCTGGACCAGCATCCCACCACGTGACGAGCACGTGTCCCGGGCATGTGTCCAGTACTTCTCCACATTTACGAACTGGTAACACTTCTCTCCAAAAGTTTTTAGGTATGCATCTCTCGGCAGGTGCGAAGGACATCTATACAACTGGTCGTTGCCATGGCAAACTAAATGTAGAAATGTTATATAATTACTGCTGTTTTTGAAGTCAATATGATGATTCAGACACAGTTAGGAGGAGTACAATATTGTACTTCGGAGATGGCTAAATTATCGTTTTGACTTAAAAACCCCCAGCAATTAAATGTTCTATTTTCTGATGATACAAACTCGTTAAGCAATCCATGATATCTTACTTGTTTACATCTGCTGAAGTCCTATCCAAATGCAATGAGAGAAGCGGTTTAAAATACACAAATCTAAATTTCTTTTCGTTGCGATGTAGAAAAAAATAAATGTCAAGCACATAAAGCATCCATTTTGAAAGCGGGGGGGGGGGATGTAGGTTAGGGTCCATTAACGTACGAGAGATTTGATTATACTGTAGCCCATCTACCCACTCCCCCCACCCCACCCGCCATCCCCGATTCTATGTGCATAAATGTTATGTTCACCTGAGTGGAAGTCGGGTGCAAGTCAAAAACACTTTTCAGAATTATTTGTATCAATTTAGACATTCTCAATCTAGTTTTATAGAAAAAATAAATTCTTATGGTCACTAGGGAGGTGACAGTGTTGGATCTCAGCCAATCAGAGAGCTAGGAATTATTTAATCATATTCTTACTATAAAAGCATTGTAAAACGTCTGAAGAATCACGAATCTAGCATGAAAAGCACGATATTTGCTTCTATTCCCAAAAGTTTTAAGTCAATGGAGAAAAAGTCTGCACAAAGTAAATCAGAATCATACCTTATCAAGTGTTTTCTTAAAACAATCCCCAAAACTGTGGATTAAGGCTTCATCCACCCATAACGTCATTTTGACGGTGGAAAGCCCCCCCCCCCCAAACAAATTCGCTGAATTGGGCAATTTCAAAGGTGAATCTTGGACCATGAAAATCCACTTGCCTTTTAGGGTTAATGGATTTTAGGGATAAAACATTGATATTGTTCATTTTGAATTTATTGAGTGAAGATAAATGCAAAATTTACAATAAGATTACCGTTTTCATTCTATTTTTGAATTTATCTCCATCCAATTAATTCAGAATACAACATAATTCAAAGATATTGACTTTTGTGATTTCTTCTTAAGATCTTAAATAGATAGAAATTCTGTGTTCATATCCTCCATGAATTTAAACCGAAGAGGAGTATATTGCAGTCAAAACTAACTTAAACTAAATTAGAAATGAGGAAATAGTAGACCCCAGACCATTAAAACGAATAGTTTAAATGTAAATAGAAGTATTGTATTGGAGTTTTGAACGTTCATGGATAAGACCTGATACATTTTAACTTAATAAGGTAATAATTATTTGAAACTGAATTACACTCCTTCAGTGAATCCCATTTATATAAAAGGAAGTCAGAAGCGGTATGATAGAATCACTATAATGTTTAATTAAACTAGATATTGTCCTCATACTTTAGGTGTCCAAAAGGTATAAATCAAGATTCTATGTTCAGGTATTGCTACAACCTCACAAATTCAAGTTCACGTAAAAAATTCTCTCTCCAAATAAGTGTTTTCACGCTATAAAACCGAGTAATTGGTATATACGGTTAAAAAATGTTGATCCTTTGTTATGCATTCATACATTCCCAGGGGTTTCATTAAAGGAGAAAAACGATTTTGAATGTAAAATGAGTTGACTACCTAAGGGTATTTTGTTTGGATTCCTAATATGGCTCGGTACAACTATGAATTAGAAAACTGTCGTCAAGAAGCAGACTGAGTCTTGCTATTCTATGATTAAGATGCAAGTAGAATTACTTATATATAAATAAAGTTTAATTTTACGTTTTGTCAATAGAGTAAATTATTATGATTAATATTACAGTTATAGCGGATCCGGGGGGGGGGGGGGGTTCCACCCCAGTCAAAAAAAATCCAACCCAGCATTTTATTGATAATCAAAAAAATGTTTTCCCGAATGTGAAAAACCTATTTCATTGGGGAGGGGAGGGGGGTAGCCGCTGCACACTTCTTAGGCTTCATAAGTATGACTTTTCCTACCAATTTAACAGAGGTTCGCGTTTTCGGGGGGGGGGGGTCAGGTCACTTAGTTGCTTTACTATATACATTTAATAACTCTGCAAATTCCGGGGGGGGGGGGGGGGGTCAGCGCATGGTTGTGCTTTATTTACAATTTCAATTCAATTTATTTATTGATTCACCAAACATGTTGGCATACAACCATGTTATTTACAAAGAATCCAGTTTCAGTAGTATGTGTGTTTCCATATACCGCTATTTGAGCTGTTTTCAGACTCAGTTGCTATCGATCATAGAATTTAATAGCAGGTATATTCTTCCTTAGAAACAAGTATCAAGTATATTGATATATATTCATATATCAAATTTGTAGGTGCGATATTTTAATATCTATTATATATACAAGTACGTATATGCTGAAATGTTTCACCGTCGAAATTCAGTGAATTCAATAAATACAAACAAACAAATTAAACTAAAACGTTACACGCTGCTAAACTGAATAAACGTCACCGCCTGATTAGATGTTTTTAATCATACAAGTTCGGTGAGTGATTCACATGTACTGCACTGTATAACATGTATATCCTATGTCAAAATGTGTCAAAGCTATTTCTTTGGTTATATAAAATACACTCAACACTTTTTGTTTTTTTTATTTCTGTCACTTTTTGAGTTCATGTTCCTAACTTTTAATTTTTTCGGGGCCTAGGGGTGTCTTTTATTTATTTATTTAATTTTTTTTGCCAAAGCAACGTTGTCTGGTTAAAAAGAGAACAAAATGTATTTCACATAAGGTCATCAGACCAGGTGATATATATTTATACAGAATGACCGATATCGACAATGACATGATTGAACGCCTTGGACAGTGCTGGATGCTCATGTCACATTTTGACAGATTTGGTCAATATTTTCGTCACTGACCAATTACAATACTTTCTCTTAAATGGTGACATTTTCTTTTAAACAAATTTCAATTCACTATAAAGGTGCCTAGAAAATACAACTGATGTTTCTTTCAATTCTACAATAAAAACAAGTTTACCTGGGTACAAAATAAATGCCAGCTCATAAAGCTACCCTTAGGCATGTTAGGTGTCAATAATTAAAAATAAGACGGTGTCACGGGGAGAAGAAAACATTCTTTTAGATTTTCATTTACAGAACATGTACTGTTAGAATTTACATTATTCTAAATTGCATAGTCTTAGTAAGCTATACTGACAAAGATCGTTTGTAAATAAACCAGAGTGTTTTAATATCTGACATTTTGCTCTTTGTTGTAAATGTACAAGAAGTATACAATTTAAACAAAACTAACCACAATATTTTGTCCACTCACCAGTTAGAATGACTGAAATAATCCATATCCTACACATCTTCACGTCTGTTTTCTCGTTATAAACTCTCCTCACGCGTTATATACTGTACACATTTATACACACATAAGTATGTAAACATAATCCGATTCCGTAGGGGGTTGGTGAGACCACGTGACACAAGCTTCAGGGTAGAGGGCTTTATGTTTATTGATTACATCGATGAATGAATGGATACCGACATTCTCGTCTAGTTTTTGTGATTTGAAAAAATTGGAAGAAAAAATTAAAACAAATCCCAAATTGATTGCAGTAACTGTTATGTTTTAAGACCATACTGGCGACCTTTCACCCCCTCTTTTTCTACAGCTTCTGTTCACGACTGTCCAGGCGTGTCAGTGATTTAAACCTTTTCTGTTTCTTTTTTCTCACCCCCCCCCCCTCCTTGCAAGTCAAACTTTTTTTCATCCACTAGACGCTGTTTTAAAGTTGTTTTGTTAATTTAGAATCTAGTTTTGCCCCTCACTTAAACTCTTCACTCTAAGCATACAATACGGACCAGTCTCTCGGTGTTAATGTCAACATCTTCATAAACTTCCTCCTCTTGAACCGGTTAAGAACATGAAGGATACTCCAAAATAAGTTAAAGAAACTTCTTAATCAGTTTAGATAGACTTTTATTAATCAATTAAACATAGGAAACTATGTCGGACTGTCCTAGTTTCTTAGTTAACTTTAAAGTGCGCTTTACCGATGTGACTAAAAGGTTCACTTTAAATTTCACTCTATTCTGTCGCTCTCAATATATAAGGCTAAAGCATGTTCATACAGTACAGATTGTAAAAATATGAAAAAATGTTTTTTCAACCATCTTCTCATCCCCTCTCTAATTTTTTTAACACCTCTCTTATAATACAATATTATAATTTTATTTCCTTGTGTTAGAAATTACCGGATTAACTTTCCATAAATATCTTACTAATATCACAAGTCTCTTGTCCTTTATGGATGACTTTAACCAAACTACTTATAAATATTTTGTGTGGAATCTAATTCTTGAATGTAAAATTGAACCAAAAATTCAAAAAACTAGAATAACAGATTTTATAATTCCTAGTGCAGTTAACCCAAGACGGTTATTTCATAATTACCGGTCTATTTTTTTTTTTTTTTTTTTTTTTTTGAGTAAGGGGACGAACGTTTGACTCTGAAAGGGGGAGGCTGGCAGATATTGAAAATTAAAAATCTGTCCTTGAAAATGCCAAAAATAAAATTTAATAATCCACTGGGAAGAAAATAAACTAAGAGGTATTGAGAGCCCCTGTTCCTCTTTCGAGTCTCAGTATCAATGGCAAAATCCATATTTTGCCCAGGGAAAGCCCAAATATCTGTCCAATCAAAACTAAAATAGGAGAATGTAATAGTCTCATCAAATATTCAGTGATAAATGAGGAGACATGGAGATAGTAACACCAACATTACAGAAAGAATGACAGTGCTCATGTTCTATGGGAAAGCCCAAATATCTGTCTGATCAAAACGTAAAATAAGATGCACAATGACACTATAAAAATTTTACTCAGTGCTTAGAGATGGGTACCCCCAAGTGTAATGGAATACCACCATTATTATATATTCCCGTATTTCAAGCTTTTTTCACTGCGAAGAAAATAACCAATCTGACCTTGACTGGTGGTACCTAACCCCACACACCCCTCTTCCTCAATAGAGTTTTGGGGTGTGGGGAGATTTTTCCATCTTTTTTTTTGGCCTCTAGAATTTTTCCAGGTGAGAAAATAATCTATCACTGGTCATTTTTTTTAAGTAATTAGTCAATCTGTCCTGCAATGGCATGAAAGTAAATAATCTGACTTGACAAAATGTACGGTACCAGCCTCTCCCTCCCTCCTTTCAGAATCAAATGGTCATCCCTCTCTCTCTATTTTTTTTTTTTTTTTGGAGAAAAAAAACTGAGAGAGAGAGATTCCCCACATATAGTGAAGGAATGTACTGTACAGTATTTCTTCCACATAGTAAGCCTTCCTAAATAATCAACTTAAACAATTCGGTTTCTTTTCTTTCCCTTTTTTCACTCAAGGGGAATAATTTTTTTTTACTATTTCATTACTGGACAGATTGTGAGAAAAATCGACAGATTTGATAGCATTTGCAATGGCATTCCTAAATGTGAAAATTGTATGATGTTGGTCCAACCAGAAACATGTATATGTACTCCTTTAACCATAATTCCACATTTTAGGTAAGTACATCAAAAGTATACAATGTACTAATATTAATTAATACTTTCTTGATTCAAATATCAGCAATCAAAATAAACAGATGAATGTTTTGCATTCTGAATTGAAATGATTATCCTGATGATGATGAGATGTTCAATATACAAAAAAACATCAGGGAGGGGGGGGGGGGTTCTATTTTTCTATGCGTGAATGTTTGCTATATACCGGTAAATTTTCCCCAAGGAAAAAAAATTACTACAACATAAAGTATCTGAGAGGAAGGTTTTATATATAAATCAATTACCCTGAGGGGTTTGCTGTGTGGAGGGGACACCAGCAGGCATTTTACTGATTAAAAAAAACACACACACACAAATATACAACAGAATGTTATAATAATCATTTTAATGTTGCATAAATAATAATTAGCAAACATAAAGAAAAAATCTCAAACATTTTAGTAAATAACTGGTATAAACTTTGTTAATGGTACAAAACTTAATAATATTGCTGAAATGTATAATAGTTACTGAAAGACACATATAATTTGTAATAAACTGTTACATACCTGCACAGGTAGTGTTTCATTGATGTATTATATCTATATACACCTTAATTAAATGTAGTACTACTGCAGTTTTAAATGAAAATACATGTACAATAACTGGTAGTAACAAAAGTCAATGAAATTTTTATACGATACAAAAACACTGTAGTCTAAACGAAAAATAACTAAAATTAAATATCTGCCCATTCTTTATCTATTGCACAAACATTAACTGAAATTGTTATGCATTACAGAAGATATGAAAAAGTAGAAATATGGCACTAGAAACATTTGAGTTGTGTCCTTCCTTTCCTCAATTGAAAATGAGTTCATTCAGAAAAAAAGCCACATTGAAATACCAAACAAGAGGCCCATGGGCCACAGCACTCACCTGAGTAACTTTGGCCTTGCTGTTTTTCACCTGATCCCCCCCCCCCCCTCGTAGTACTTATTGTGGTCCCCCCTACCCCAGAGGGTCATGATTTGAACAATTTAGAATCTACACTACCCAAGAATGTTTCCACATTAGTTTCAGCTTTTCTGGCCTAGTAGTTCTTGAGAAGAAGATTTTTACTACATATTTCAATGTAAAATTTGGATTCCCTATTGTGGCCCCACCCTACCCCCTGGGGTCATGATTTGAACGATTTAGAATCTACACTACCCCAGGATGCTTTCAAATAAGTTTCAGCTTTTCTGGCCTAGTGGTTCTTAAGAAGAAGATTTTTAAATATTTTTACTATATATTTCAATGTAAAACTTGGATTCCTTATTGTGGCCCCGCCCTACCCCCCGGGGGCATGATTTGAACAAATTAGAATCTACACTACCCCAGGATGCTTCCAAATAAGTTTCAGCCTTTCTGGCCCAGTGGTTCTTGAGAAGAAGATTTTTAAAGATTTAAACTACATATTTCTATATAAACTTGGATTCCCTATTGTGGCCCCGCCCTACCCCCAGGGATCATGATTTGAACAATTTAATATCTACACTACCCCAGGATGCTTCCACATAAGTTTCAGCTTCTCTGGCCTAGTGGTTCTTGAGAAGAAGATTTTTAAATATTTTTACTATATATTTCAATGTAAAACTTGGATTCCTTATTGTGGCCCCACCCTATCCCCGGGGGTCATGATTTGAACAATTTAGAATCTAAACTACCCAAGGATGCTTCCACATAAGTTTCAGCTTCTCTGACCTAGTGGTTCTTGAGAAGAAGATTTTTTAAAGATTTTTACTACATATTTCTATGTAAAACTTGGATTCCTTATTGTGGCCCCGCCCTACCCCCGGGGGTCATGATTTAAACAATTTAGAATCTACACTACCCAAGGATGCTTCCACATAAGTTTCAGCTTCTCTGGCCCAGTGGTTCTTTAGAAGAAGATTTTTAAAGATTTTTACTACATATTTCTATGTAAAACTTGGATTCCTTATTGTGGCCCCGCCCTACCCCCTGGGGTCATGATTTGAACAATTTAGAATCTACACTACCCAAGGATGCTTCCACATAAGTTTCAGCTTCTCTGGCCCAGTGGTTCTTGAGAAGAAGATTTTTACTACATATTTCTATGTAAAACTTGGATTCCTTATTGTGGCCCCGCCCTACCCCCGGGGGTCATGATTTGAACAATTTAGAATCTTCACTACCCAAGGATGCTTCCACATAAGTTTCAGCTTCTCTGGCCCAGTGGTTCTTGAGAAGAAGATTTTTTAATGACCCCACCCAATTTTTGTATTTTCTTGATTATCTCCCCTTTGAACGGGACTTGGCCCTTCATTTTAACAATTTAAACTCCCCCTTAGCCAAGGATGCTTTGTACCAAGTTTGGTTAAAATTGGCCCAGTGGTTCTTGAGAAGAAGTCGAAAATGTGAAAAGTTTACAGACGGACGGACAGACGGACGGACAGACGGACGGACAGACGACGGACAACAGGTGATCAGAAAAGCTCACTTGAGCTTTCAGCTCAGGTGAGCTAAAAAGAAAAATAATATATGTATAAAAAAGCAATTGTTTTCAACATGTAATTGACAAGGGAAAAAACACAATATACTACAAATACTTTCTATTGTATCAAAATGGTACACAGCAAAAGAGAGAGAGTTAATCAAGAGACAGATAAGCTTGGAGTTTAATTTTGACCAGAAATGATGATTTAGGGGGTACAAGTATACTGTATGTATTTATTTTCAAAAGATTTATTATATATAAGTACATTCGTAGTACTTATTACTGCACTTAGTGTTGATCAACACAAAAATATTTTAGCATGGTAAGAACACAGAGAATGTAATTCTTGACTATGTCAGAGTCCACTACCTTTATCTGTGCTCACAATTTAGTATCCTATATACATGTAAGGACAAGTGCAATTTGTATCAAACAAGACCCAGTGCCCCCCCCCCCCCCCTCCCCCTTTCAGACATTACTTGGAGCCCTATGAAATCTCAGTCTCATATACCACAGTGGCTAAATCCAACCTCAAATCATAGACAATGAAGAAACAAGTAAGCCAAAATTTGTAAGTTTCTTGGGGAAATAATAACAATAATATACTTAACAGGAATTGTTTTTGCAGTAGCTAGGTTTCATCATTTGTTGTCATGTCATACAAATAAATACAGGGGTTAACATACAGGTAGAGGTGGAAGTGCATCAACAAAAAAAAATGATATGTACAACTGAGATTCACTGATCAACAACAAAGAAATCAACACCCGTAATTACAGTAACTGCTGGGTGTGTAGTCAAGAGTGCAATGACCGGGTCTCTTGGTGACCTAAGGGTGAAGCTTTGGAATGTAAAACCTAATTAGGACAATGCCCCAGACACAGTAATACTTATCTGTCAGTAGGGAAGTACTCATTACAGTTAGTCATATAAAACCGTGTCAGGTACACAACACATCTAACATCTTTTTGTAAATAAGTCCAGTACATGTATAGTGTATGTATATTTTTCTTTTGTAGATAATAAATATCACAGTAATTCTGAAGGTGAATTATAAAATTACTCAAGATTTGTACATTTGACTGAAGAAAATAAACTGAGAAAAAAAGCTGTGGTTTCACTAACACCATTGCTCTTTGTTGAATCCTTCCATGCATGTAAATATGAATACAAAAGCTTTCTCAATTTCCTTGTAGGGCTAATGACAAAAGTACAAAGCAATAAAAATAATGATATATACAACCTTATATTCAGTTGCTATGTATCACTTACTTTGTAAACTGTACAGTCTTTGGCAAAATTAATCAGATGAATTTTAAGTGAGGTACTATTAAGCACCTCTTGAATGCATATGAATTCTTTGATAAGGGTTTCAACAGAAAACTTAATGCACTGGTTGAAATTTGCTACATCATAGCTTGGTATCCATGACAGACCTAGGCCTCTCAATAACAACATTGTCCTGTCTAGGGGGACCCTGATCAGCCTTCCCTGTCCCTGTCTTAGAGCCATCCCCTTTGTGTGCTTGAGCCACAGCAATGTGTAAACACTGCACCCACTGTTCAATATTCTGGTGACCTTTGGCCTTGAAGGTGTACGACTGGTCTGCTGTAAATATTTCGAATGCCTTGGGAATATCACGGTAGCCTTTCCTTACTGCCTTAACACTCTGGATCTTACTTACAGGAAGGGTCTCATGTCGCTGTAAAAATTGGAAGATACAAGCTGTTAGAATATTAATTAAAGTTGAATGTGGACAAAACCTACGGGTTTTTAAATGTTGAGAAATTCTACAGAAAAATTTAAGATGGTATGTTTTTTATATATTGTTATCATTTATAAGTTTTACCATTTTCAAAAAAATGCTGACTTTATTATTGCACCTGTAAATAGCCCTTACTGCATAGCACCCTAAAAATGACTAGATGTGTCGTAATGCCATGAATGGCCCCGCAGGTATCCAAAATTTCAAATGCTATATTTAGTTTTAAATTTGTTTGCGCAAAAGATATACATAAATCCCTACAGAAGTTAGGGAGCAGAAACAGAAAATTTCTTATTTCTTTATAAGTTCAACAGGGATATCTCTCTCAAAAATCACCAAACCATGACTAAATTTGAACATGACCTGTATTGTCTAGTATAATACCTGCATATGCAATTTCAATTTTATACATACATCCCTACAAAAGTTAGAGAGCAGAAACTGAAAAATTCTTTTTTTTTAAGTTCAAGAGTGATAACTCTGTCAAAATGACCAAATTTGAACTTGATCTACATATTCCTTTGACATATTCGTTTGTAAAATTTGAGTTAAATGTGTGCAACTGTTGTCAATATAATAAATGGAAAGTCAATAATGACGGAACAGGGTAACACTATATGCCCCAGGCCATTTTATGGCTGGGGCATAAAAATGATAATTTTGATAGTTTGTTTCATCCACTTATCTTTATGAAAGGGTTTTAAGACAACAACACAAATGGAAAGCCCTTCTGTAGAACTTGTCAAACTGTTGATGTAATGTCTATTTATAGTGTAAATGGATTTACCTGGTCACTCTTGCTGTATGTAATCTGTGTCCCTGACAGAGTGAAGTACCTGGTCTTCCATCTCTTCAGGAACTTCCATTTTCCCTTCTTCTCTCTCAACTGACCCTAATCAGAAATGAAATAGTACATTAAACAAGAGGCCCATGGGCCACATCGCTCACCTGAGTAACTTTGGCCATGCTGTTCTTTACCAGATTTCCCCCTTTCAATATACCTATTGTGGCCCCGCCCTACCCCTGGGGGTCATGATTTGAACAATTTAGATTCTACACTACCCCAGGATGCTTCCATATATAAGTTTCAGCTTTTCTGGCCCAGTGGTTCTTGAGAAGGAGATTTTTAAAGATTTTTCCTATATATTTCAATGTAAAACTTGGATTCCCTATTGTGGCCCCGCCCTACCCCCGGGGGTCATGATTTGAACAATTTAGAATCCACACTACCCCAGGATGCTTCCATATAAGTTTCAGCTTTTCTGGCCCAGTGGTTCTTGAGAAGAAGATTTTTAAAGATTTTTCTTATATATTTCAATGTAAAACTTGGATTCCCTATTGTGGCCCCGCCCTACCCCCGGGGGTCATGATTTGAACAATTTAGAATCCACACTACCCCAGGATGCTTCCATTTAAGTTTCAGCTTTTCTGGCCCAGTGGTTCTTGAGAAGAAGATTTTTAAAGATTTTTCTTATATATTTCAATGTAAAACTTGGATTCCCTATTGTGGCCCCGCCCTTCCATCGGGGGTCATGATCTGAACAATTTAGAATCCACACTACCCCAGGATGCTTCCATATAAGTTTCAGCTTTTCTGGCCCAGTGGTTCTTGAGAAGAAGACTTTTTAAGATTTTTTTTATATATTTCAATGTAAAACTTGGATTCCCTATTGTGGCCCCGCCTTACCCCCGGGGGTCATGATCTGAACAATTTAGAATCTACACTACCCCAGGATGCTTCCATATAAGTTTCAGCTTTTCTGGCCCAGTGGTTCTTGAGAAGAAGATTTTTAAAGATTTTTCTTATATATTTCAATATAAAACTTGGATTCCCTATTGTGGCCCGCCCTACCCCCGGGGGTCATGATTTGAACAATTTAGAATCTACACTACCCCAGGATGCTTCCATATAAGTTTCAGCTTTTCTGGCCCAGTGGTTCTTGAGAAAAAGATTTTTAAAGATTTTTCCTATATATTTCAATGTAAAACTTGGATTCTCTATTGTGGCCCCGCCCTACCCCCGGGGTCATGATCTGAACAATTTAGAATCTACACTACCCCAGGATGCTTCCATATAAGTTTCAGCTTTTCTGGCCCAGTGGTTCTTGAGAAGAAGATTTTTAAAGATTTTTCCTATATATTTCAATGTAAAACTTGGATTCCCTATTGTGGCCCCGCCCTACCCCCGGGGGTCATGATCTGAACAATTTAGAATCTACACTACCCCAGGATGCTTCCAAATAAGTTTCAGCTTTTCTGGCCCAGTGATTCTTGAGAAGAAGATTTTTTAATGACCCCACCCTATTTTTGTCTTCTCTTGATTATCTCCCCTTGTGAGGGGACTTGGCCCTTCATTTTAACAATTTAAATTCCCCTTCACCCAAGGATGCTTTGTACCAAGTTTGGTCAAAATTGGCCCAGTGGTTCTTGAGAAGAAGTCAAAAATGTGAAAAGTTTACAGACGGACGGACAGACAGACAGACGGACAGACGGACGGACGACGGACAAAATGTGATCAGAAAAGCTCACTTGAGCCTTCGGCTCAGGTGAGCTAAAAACTACATGTACATACAATGTTCATTATTTTTGCTTTTCATCATGCCATAAATCAAACAAATGCGAACAAACTGAATAGTACATACTGGGATAATTTTCAAGCTTATACTTACACTTGTATTATCTCAAACATTTTATATAAAACTTTGATATCACATACTTCACTGATATATAAATGTAAAAGTTAATAAGGCATTTATACGAAAAACAATAATGGAATATAGATATGTGTTATCCACTACGGCTTGTTACCTCTTTTTGTCATTTTTCAACTGACCAATATGACTCATTTACTGACAACTATGACTTGTTAACTGACTTATATAACATTTTATCTGATCTTTATGACTTTTTGATAATATGACTTGTTAACTTATATGAATAACTCTTAAACTGAGCGGTATGACTTTTTTAACTAACCACTTTGACATTTTATCTGACCACTAAGACTTTTTAACTGATCATTATGACTTTAACTGACCACTAAGACTTTTTAACTGACCACTAGGACTTTTTAACTCACTGCTATAACTGGAGAACCATTTTTCATTAAATCCCACATCTTCTCTGGGTGATTACACATGAAACAAGCCCAGTACTTCTTGGCAGCATTAAACTCAAACACGTCAAAAAACCGAGAACAGTGCAGCTCATGGATCAGAATATCTTGATCCTGTAAAAAAACAAAGTGATGTAAACCCCCAACTCAATCAATTTATTATTTAACATAACCATATGTTCATTTAATGTAAGGGTCTGCATCATGAAACCAGATACATATACACAAGGCTGTGCTGACTCTTCCTCTGATTGTTTGTAGTTTGACGTTCTTATGTGACTTAAAACAAATCTTATTTCTCCCTTTATTAGTCCCCTACCGGTGAAACCGGAGGGGACTATAGGTTTCCTCTGAGTCTGTCCGTCCATCTGTCTGTCTGTCTGTCTGTCTGTCTGTCCCTCTGTCTAGCTGTCAGTCTATCCCACTTGGTTTTCCGCACTTTTTTCCTAAACGCTTGCAGATATTGAGCTGATTTTTGGTATGTGAGTGTATCTTGATGAGTTACAGATCAAGCATGCATTTCGTTCCACTTCATTGATTTTTGACGGAATTATGGCCTTTTCAATTTTTACGGGTTTTCCGCAATTTTCTCCTAAACGCTTGTAGATATTGAGCTGATTTTTGGTATGTGGCTTTACCTTGATTAGTTATAGATCAAGTTTGCATTTCGTCCGGCTTCATTAATTTTTGACGGAATTATGGCATTTTCAATTCTTAACGGGAACCAGATTACACTTGCCGGTAAGGGACTAGTATTGCTAATGCAATACTCTCAGAATGCTTGTTCCTTAAGTTACATCCTAGTTTCAAACTGATTGATTGCCAGCAAAGAAAACCTCCAGTGAAAGCTGGTAACACAGATATCACTTTCTGGTTGGGTCAGGCTTTACACAATAGCATAATGGGTAAGACGTCTACTTGTATTGCTTAATACTTGTATTTCTTGCTTACAAGAAATTTTTTTGGTAAAGTTTCAAAAATTATGTTCATTCTTATTCGAAATTGACACATCCAAAAATTCAATTATATTTTATATATATAAAATAAAATTTGTTGCTCTATACAGTCAGGAACCTTTTCAAGATATAAATAAGAGTTGGGAATTATAAAATCCTTTACAAATATTAAGAAAAGGGAATGTTTTATATAAAACTGACCTTTGCAGATGGGAATGAAGAGGTGACAAGAGTTAGGAAACTCCATGTTGATCTGTCTGTTTGTAGGGAGTCCCAGCAAGTCTTAAGGCGACTTATGCTGTAGTCATGCTGACTTAATGCTGATGCTGCTTTGGCCTAAAAGAGACCAGTTATAAATTAATATTTTGCCACATTTAAAAAATGTAATGTTTGACAGAAAGTCAATATATGGTGTACATCACATAATCAGGGTTAGAAACCCCCTAAAACTACAACTCGCAAATAATTGCAAGTACCAATAAAGTGAACTCGCAATTTTATAAGACTACTCGCAATTTTCATATAAAATTAAATTTATATAAATTAAATACATGTAACTTAAGGAAAAAGTAACTTCTGTACAATACACAAAATACAGCTACAGTGTGACTTTTATTTAAATTACTGATTTAAATCAAAAGCATTGTGTTCTGTTAAATTATATAATTTTGCTACAGTTTTAATGCAAAAAAATCAAATCGCAAGTTTTTGCAAGTTACCTAATTTTTAACTCGCAATTTGGGAATTCTAACTCGCGTTTTGCGAGTTGTATGTAGTGAATTTCGAACCCTGATAATGTAGATTCCTTATTATACGCAAGTGCTTAATATCTGGAAATGACTCTTAGACATAAAATTGTGAGACCAAAAATTCACAACTGGATGGTTGATCTTGAGATTTTAAATGGATTTCAACACCATAAAAGTAAAAGCGAGAACCAGTAATTTTATTTCGCGAGGGGGGGTTCTCCCAAAATTTGCATATATGTAGGAATCTACAGTACTGTATAGAGACACTTGTTAAGAAGGGGAATGTTTCCAAAAAATACTACCAATGCTATCGTTCAAAGAAGAAACTGTGTCTTACACTAAACATGAATATCTCAGTTGCGTAGAGAAAAACATGTGGTAGACCCAGGTTTCTGGTAGCTTTGTGTCCAGTGTGAAGTAGGATTTGATATACAAATACATGTATACTGATCTCCATTACGGACTATAAGTGATAAGTGGATCCAGGTTTTTGGTAACTTTGTGTCCAGTGTGAAGTTATACAAATACATGTATTCACTATAAACTTACATGCATAGAGAGGAACATGAGGTGGATCCAGGTTTTTGGTAACTTTGTATCTAGTGTGAAGTTATACAAATACATGTATTCACTATAAGTTTGCCTGCTTAGAGAGAAACATGAGGTGGATCCAGGTTTTTGGTAACTTTGTGTCTAGTGTGAAGTTATACAAATACATGTATTCACTATAAGTTTACCTGCGTAGAGAGAAACATGAGGTGGATCCAGGTTTTTGGTAACTTTGTGTCTAGTGTGAAGTTATACAAATACATGTATTCACTATAAGCTTACCTGCGTAGAGAGAAACATGAGATGGATCCAGGTTTTTGGTAACTTTGTATCCAGTGTGAAGTAGGATTTGTTATATATACACTGATCTCCCTTACCACCACAGAGAAAGCTGAGTCTCAGGAACCGCTTATGACGACCATCTGAAAAATACACAATGTCAATATTATGTTTACAATCTAGTAATCAGTCATGGATAATTATTACCTGCTCAAAAATGGTAGCATTAGTTCTTTATCACTATACTTAAATGAGCAGGATCATAATAAAACCATCTTACTAATGACACTGCAGACTTCTGGAAGTGGAATGCGAGCTGATATGTTCATGATGAAGTTGCGAATTGTACTGAAATGTTTGTCACAGAAATGCTGTACACCATCACGCATAGACTCAACCTACAAACAAAATAGGTAGTAAAAACCTACTGTAGTCTTGATGTGAAAATCTAAACACTGTAGAATAGTCTTCTTCTTTTAAACCGATATTATTAATTTGGCTTCTGCTGAGCAAGATTGCTTTTGATATCAACTAGTAATGGAGAACTTTATACTCACTGAGGGTCCATGCTGACTACTGACAGAGCTCATCATGGACATTCTGTCAGTGTAGACAGAGGCCGGACTGACTGGTCTGTCATAGCGACCTGTAGACACACTGGTCCTGTCAGTTTGGAAAAAATAGTCAATCCATCACTGGTAACAACAGTGACAATAAAAGTCAAAAGAATTTGTAGGTACATATGTTTGTGTACAAACACTATGGGCAGTTTCCAATCTCTGTAAACTAAGCTCATTTGAGCCCTTGGCATAGGAAAACTAAAAGTGGCATTGTAACATTTCTTATTTTTTTCTCTATTTTTAATTGAGTATTACCTGGATGCTTTGCTGAGACTCTGCTCACTAGACATATTTTACCTTTTTGATTTGCCTACCGTTTGTTTACTAGACATATATACCTGGATGATTTGCCGAGACTCTGCTCACTAGACATATTTTACTTTTTTGATTTGCCTACCGTTTGTTTACTATAGACATATATACCTGGATGATTTGCCGAGACTCTGTTCACTAGACATATTACTGGAGGGTATATTCATGCGCCGGACTGTGATACCATTAGGATTGGCTGAGTTTGGGGGGTTCCCTACTGTAATAACTGTCACTGCTCCCTCTGTTTGACTGGATACTGACTTCATCTCTTTGTCCTTCTCTAGAGCACTTGACCTGTAATATGGTAAACTCTAGTAACATGGCACCTAACAACAGTGTCAACTCTTCATGTAACAATTCTAATGATTTCTACCCAAGGACATTTTTGTTGTACCTGTCAGAAGAGATAAGAGGCCCATGGGAAACAGTGCTCACCTGAGTCACACTGTCTCTGAAATAAATATACATCAGAGGTACCTTCTTGTGACTTCAAACTAAGTTTTAGGACATTTAGTTTCATGATTGTAAAGATGTATTCAGTCTTTTTCTATGGGAAGTCTTTATACTCAATTCAAAATGTTGAACCTCAAACTTTCTTAAGGGAGTAAGAAGGGGACAGTAAAATAATTATAACTGATTCTACACTACATGAGAATGACTGCATATCAATATAAACATCTTAGCAATGCTGTTTTGCCTTAGATAATTTTATAAGAAATTTTCCTAATAATTTGTATGTACTATGCAAAACTTTTACATTATGGCCTTTGTTCATTACCATTTTCCAAACTACAACATCATGCAATAAAGTTTCATGAATGTGGACCCACTTTACCTTGAGATTCTAATTGCAGAGAGAAGCTACATGTACATGTAAATAGAACATTGAAAATCAAAAAAAATAATTAAGTTTTGTCTGTTAAGAATCTAGGCTCGTGATAATAATTCCACTTGATTTTTGTTTATTCTTAATAATCTCCCCTTAAAAGATGGATCCAGCTCTTCATACAAAACTTGAAACCACTTTACCTGCGAACGCTTAATTTGTTTAAAAGTGGCAAATTTGTAAAAGTTCTGGAAGATAAATCAAAAATGTTAAAAGTTAAACTGCAGACAATCAGAAGAGCTCACTAGAGTCTTTGGCTTAGATTAGCCAAAAAAAATTAAACTGGGTATAAGGATTTTGTTCATAATCATGTCAAACACTGAAAGCAATACCAACTTAATGTTTCTGATATCTTGACATTCTCTTCTGAAAAAGAATGAAAATTCTACAAAAATAATCAGTCATTTTCTGACAACATGCATTTATCTAAATAACCTAGTTTTAGAGCCAAAAATCACAAGAAAGGAGACAAAGGAAATAACCTCAACCATAAAACTTGATGGAAAAAGTTTCACCTATCAAATAATACTTAAAAAAGAATAACAACATTTTGTATCCAAAATTTTATTGAAACATTTTTCACTTAGGGAAAGGGCTGAAATAGGCTATGCCTGCTGCCTGATTCCATTTACTTTTGTGAATAAAATATTGTTTAAATTAAAAAAAAAAATCATAATGTATGTATCAAAGAAAGACTTAAATATTGTTCAACTGAAATATTTAGTGTTTAGCATCTACCTAAGTTAACTTAATCTTACTTCCTAAGACATGGCTTGTTGATTCAATCCTGTCTATTAAATCTACAGTACACTGAATATTTTCTGTAAATTTTTTATACTATTTATACATGTACTAATTTCATTGTCATTATGCAAAACAAATTCTTTTCTGAAGTTACTTTCCTTATCCCATATGGCATACAATTTCTATCCTCTTTTCCAAAAGACTTAAATCCTGACAAGAGCAGTAAATTGAAAATGGCCCATTGGATTCAGTACACATAAGTTATATAGAGTCTTGCCTCTTTTTATTATCATCCTTCAACTGTTGTACAAGAATGCGTACAGCACTGGAGCCATTCTGGGACAGTTTACTGATTTTGTCCATGTTGTCAGCCAGGAGGTCTGGGTGATTAATACTCAGGGCCTTAATTTCCTGTAGAATGACCGTCAATACTGCCTGGTCAGTCTGATTTAGATTGGACACAAAGTAATTCATGCTCAGCTGGGCCTGTTCCTGTCAAAAAGAATTAAGAAGCTGTTACAATTATGCAAACTTGTGAGTGCACCTGCAAAGGAAGTTGTCTTTTCATTTATTATCTTTAATTCTTTAAGTTTAGATTGGTTATGTTAATTTCCAAGTTGTTTGTAAATTATTTACATGTAGCAGGATTTCAATTTGGCTTAATTTTGATTCAAATGAATTATTTATCAAAGAAAATAGGCAGAGAGCATGATATGATTAGATGAATTTCTCTTAGTCAGGGTTGTACAATGATTAAAAGCTTTTTTACTGAAGATAACAAGAAATACAAGTATCTTTTTTGCAAGGCTGGCTTAAATTTGCATTTTAACATTCTAGCTGCAATTTTTTTTTTTACCTATGATCGATCATCAATTTTACAAATATTAACAAATTCTGGTTATTATATATACATGTACTCATTAACGTAAAGAAAATGTATGTGAGAAATTTTCGTGAGCAGATGGACTTGCATATGCAAAAATAAAGTTCTTGTGAATTAAAAGTGATATTCAGTATTAACAATTAAAGGAATACAAGTTTTAATAAAAATGCAATTTTGGAGTGTATCATCATGACTTGAAATAGATAACACATGAGAGCTGACTCATTATATGTATGCATATACACAGAGAAGATCTAGTGTGTCTTTCTTCTCTGGTGTGTGACCAAACAAAACAATGCAAAAATATCACACACACTCTTGTAAATGCAAAGTGATGCTAAATTTGTCATACTTCTTTATCCAAATATATTTTGCACCAGTTCTCTTAACCAACTGCTCAATCTACTCATATTATATGCACATTTGTGATACTGTATGTCTTTGTTAAAACATTTCATTTTAAATTAATCTTTTAGAGTGCATATATTTTCAAAAATGAATGCATATTGAACTGCTTTATTATACCCTAAAAGTACAGGCTTATTTGTAGCTACTGTATCTTAAATAACTTGGAACAATCTAAGCTGCTAAGGGATGACATGACAAAACAGAATGTTGTTCTTTACCTCGTTAATTGTTCCAACAGCCCCCAATATCTGGACGACATGGATCAGGTGAATAGGCTGCTTCTCTGCCGAGGATTTTAGCACCGATACATAACTGACAAAGGGGTTTGGATTAGCTATTGCCATGTCAACAAACATCACCAAAATAAGAGGTGCTAAGACGGATGTGGACAGGTACTCAGACAGCTTAGGAATGTGTGGTTCTAATGTCTAAGGAAAAAATATATAAAAGATTTAAAATTCTCTCCTTGCAGAAAGCCATAAGGAATGTTTAAATGAATTGTGCATTACCTTGAAATGTGAAAGATTTTTCAGTGATAGTTCAGTATTTTGAATATTTATAATCATGAATTTATTATCTCAACTACAAATATGTGACCTACAGAATGTTTTTAACATGAAATTGTGTCAAATCTCTGAGAAGAGAATTTTGTAAAATCTACAGAAGTTGATCCCTACAGATTTGCATGAATTTAGAGTAGTTTTGCATAAAAAACTGTTCTCATGTTATGTTAAACGTTCTCGATATTCATTTTGACTTATTCTACTTATTTCTGTCATAGTCTCTGACAAATACCTCTTATATTGAATTTCATCTATTATCTCAATACCTCTGAGTGTTTACTTGTGTCAGATAAATATTTTTAACATAAGATACCTGTAACCTACATGAGTTAACCTATTATATGTATAGATGTTGTTGAGTTTCACCTATCAATTAATTTTTTTCATGAATTTTTACCTGTGGTGTATATTGTTTACCTGTGGTGTATGTTGTTTACCTTAATCAACTGTTACCATTAGTGTTTACCTGTGGTGTATATTGTTTACCTGTGGTGTATGTTGTTTACCTTAATCAACTGTTACCATTAGTGTTTACCTGTGGTGTATATTGTTTACTTTTATCAACTGTTATCATTAGTGTTTACCTGTGGTGTATGTTGTTTACTTTTATCAACTGTTACACATTAGTGTTTACCTGTGGTGTATATTGTTTACTTTTATCAACTTTTACCATTAGTGTTTACCTGTGGTGTATAATGTTTACCTTAATCAACTGTTACCATTGGTGTTTACCTGTGGTGTATGTTGTTTACTTTTATCAACTTTTACCATTAGTGTTTACCTGTGGTGTATGGTGTTTACTTTTAACGACTGTTACCATTAGTGTTTACCTGTGGTGTATGTTGTTTACTTTTATCAACTTTTACCATTAGTGGTTACCTGTGGTTTATTTTTGGCCACCATGGAGAACACCTGACAAAGACTACTTCTCTCTGATACATCACACTGATCTAGTATGTCTATCAGTCTTTCTGTACAATCAATGATTGGGTCACTATTCTGTGTATAGATCTGAGGAAGAACTGTGCTAAGAATGTAGTTTCCTTAAAAATAAATAAACATCACATGAAATCAAAATGAAATAAATACTTTCAAGTCCTGAAATGTGACATCATTTTCATTGAATTCAGCATTCAATAACCATCAGAGCAATTATAACCTCACATTTTGTAACACCAAATATTATTTAATACATGTATCTATAAATAATCATTTTCTACTCACAGAAAAAAAAATTATAGAAGCAATGTGAGAAACAGATTTATTAAACCAAAGGATAGATGTGAAATTCAAAAAAAAAAAATTACTCAGTATTTAACATCAAGCAATCTTAGATGAACATATTCAATATAACATATATAATCTTCATCATTTCCTGATATCCTCCTTTTGTTCATATGCATATATACTGATTTACATTGTACAAACCTCTAAACATGCTGTTAAGGATGATTTCCATGTGTCTGGCCAAAAGATCAGCATTGTCTAGTGCTGCCAGGGACAGATAACTGGACACGTTACGACTCAGCTCTTTATTATCACTGCTGAGGAAATTGACCACCACTGGAATTGCCATTGTCATTACCTTACACTTGCCATAGTGCTGAAACCAAATACAAGGAACACAAGTTTATCTACAGACATGCATTTGGTATAAATCTTATTCTGGATGCCAACACTTGCAAATATGTATTTTAATACCTACATTAACAAAGATGAGGTTATAATAAATTTTTTCACTCAATTTTTTTTATACCTGTTCCCTTCACTTTAACTTTGCTATTTTTTTTTATCTAACTCTTCCTTACCATAAACAGACAGCTCATGATATCTGAGGCCACCTTGGCGTGGGGAGGATCTTTGTCTTGGCTGACAGGGTTGAGATTGTGTTGCTGACACAGTTGTAGGAGATGCACTAGTCCTGACGAGTATTCTTCAATTGTGTCCATCTCCCTGTTGACAAAAAAAAGGCATGGATCTACATATTAACATCTGTATTCAGTGGATATTTTCAAACAGAGAATGAGAACTTTGCCTTATTAAGGGACAAGAGTAAATTATCAAAACTAATCTACATGGAGTACCTGATGGCTGTCGTGACACGCGTGATACAGATTTCCACCACACTCTGGTCGTTATCGTTAGATACATAGTCCTCAGTATCGATTATGTCCCCTATTTTATTCAGAGCAGTGCTAATGTCACCATCAATTTCATGATCCTCCAGTGAGAACAGGTCTCCAGCCTTTGATAGATCCTTCTCATTTAGAACTTTGGCCAACAACTCGTGCATTTTAACATAAGATCTATCTGCAAAAAACAAGACATCTGACTGTACCAGTTGCTGTAAAAATTCTGCCAGCAAATCATTGAGTACATTTATTTCATTGTCACAGAGGCAACAATAAAAATATTCACTATTATTTTTATATTGCTGAAATAGAGGTGAGATTTCATTTTAAAATTTGCAATGAATTCAACAAAGGGAATTGAATAACGAGTATATTCTGAAGAAAGTTCTGTTTTTCAAGGTTCATCGATACTCTGATAAAAGAGATAACTCTTAATGACATCAATGTCTATTATTCCTTTATAATCTTGTCAAGTTGAAGTGTCTTTTTTTGTCCAAGCTACTATTATTTACTAGTAGTAAACTTACTATCATTAGTTATTTAATCATTTGTCAACCAATCAAATACACTTTAAAATCATTCTGTATGATGTAAACACTAATAATCCAAAAGAGCAATTAAAGAAAATCCAACATTTGTGGATTTACATTATAAAATGAATTCTTCTAATATCTGTAACAATTATAATACAAGGTTGAGATACTGAATGTTTTTAACATAATTATACAGAATAAATAGGAAATGGATAAAGATTTTTCTGTTTTACTAGTAATACTGGTACTCAACAACCCAACTACTGAAACCAAAACTTAATACTGCATTTTTTTTCTGTAAATGGCATAATCTGTAAATAATAAACATAATTGAAAAATCAACAAATAAGTAACTTTACATAATAAATGGCAGACTTTAGTAATTTTTAAAAATTAATTTCTCTCCCATTTAATCTGTTCTGCAGTATTTATATACCAGGAACCTGTCTAATGGTTTGGGCCGTGGATATCAGCCTGGGTAACTCAGCTGGTAGAGCACCTGACTAGTGATGCAAGGGTCCTGGGTTTTGATTCCCGGTCCAACAATAATTTTCTCCTTACCCAGGCCAATATCCATGGCCCAAACCATTACACCTGAAAACAATGTGCTTCGTGCATATGGAAAAAGGAACATTGATGTTAAGATGTACAACGTTCAACTTATTCAATTTGCAAATTGATTAACATGATAAAGCTGGTTATTTTTAGTGTAACTCTTTTTGAATTCTTCAAAATTGTATCAGAGCAGATACACTCCTTTTTGCTACATTGTAACTATATGGGACGTATTCTAACTGAGGGTTTGTCTCAATACACAGATTATTCTAAATAAGGTATTATTCAGAGTCTAGACCTTCCAAATGTCATGTGCAATTTGAAGAGGTGGATCTAATGAAAAAGGTGAAGACAACAAACAGTGAGCAATCTGAAAAAAACCTACAAAACATACAAATCTGTGAACAGGGCATAAAAGCATGTACCCTTGGAAATTTTAAAAGTGGGATCTGGTGCCTGGGAGGGGTATGCATCCCCTGTCAACCAGTCACATCAGCTATGAGCCCTATGTATTGATCAGGTAGACAGAACATTCCAAAGTCAAATTTAGTATGAAAACAAAGCCCTAACAATTGGTATGAAATATGTCGGTCAAAATATGACCCAATGATAGGTTATATAATTTGCCAACAAGTTCATTATAACATCCACAGAATTTACAAAATGCTGACTTTAAACAAGGTTGTTGAAATTCCTGTAACATCAACTTAACTGTCAGTACCCTGCCTCAGTTTAAAATTTAAAAATACTCTGAACATGCTCTTTAGTATCAAGTTGGAAGACATAAACACTATGTCCAGGCTCCGGGGCCATAAAACTTAGATGAGCTCACTTCTGATATCAGTCTCACTTTTATTAAAGGAATATATAGTGGAAAAGTGAGACTGAAATCAAGTGAGCCCATCTAAGTTTTATGACCCCGGAGCCAGGCAATAGTGGAATATTACTATATAAATAAGGAAAGTTGACAATGGAAAAGCTAAAATCATCTTGATTATCATACCGTTTAGTTGTCAGTTGGTCCATATCATCTATAGTCAGTAAAACATTCAAATATAAAACAGATATGGCAGACTCTGTGGTGCCTTTTATTTTGAGTTCACTAGGATATTATATCAAGTCAAAATATGAATGGAAGTAACTATTGCAGGGCTCTCGATTCTCTATAATTTGGGCCGTTCAAAGGCCCCATTCCTAATTCAAAAAAAGAAACCTTTTTTCACAATTGAATATGTTAATTTTCCCAATTTGTCACTTCCCCAAATATTAAAGAACATTTAGTAAAATATGTAGTTACTAAACTTGTAATTCATATTTCTCTATATTACAAAATAAAAAATTAGTTGATAACAACCACCAGAAACTCAATATTTAATGAATTCAATGGATAATGTCTAGTAATGATTTTCACAAAATTCCCCAAAAGGTCACTAATTTTCCCAATTTTTACAGCTCTGGCCCCAGTCCCAAAAAGTGGTGCGAGAGCCCTGTATTGTTAATTGACAAAACATTGTTAATATATACAGCTGTATATGCGAATGTCAAATTGAAGGTCACAGTAAGTATTTTCTTCTTCTTTTGTGGAAGTTTTTAACTTTTTGAATAAATAATATGACTAATCATGGCTTTGTTGTTCTTGAGAAAAAGATTTTTTTCCTATATATTCCTAAGTAAAACTTTTATCCCCCATTGTGGCCCCACCCTTCCCCCGGGGGTCATGATTTGAACAAATATAAATCTAAACTATGTGATGAAGGCCCAATGGTTCTTAAGATTTTTAAAAGACGACACCAAATTTTCACCAATTCTTAATTATCCCCCCCTTGAAAGAGGGCATGGCCCTTCATTTGAACAAATTTGAATCCCCTACACCCCAGGATGCTTTGTGGCAAGTTCGGTCGAAATTGGCCTGTAGTTCTTGAGAAGAAGTTGAAAATATGAAACGTTTACAGAAGGACAGACAGCTGGACAAACAGTCAGACGGATGCCAGACAAAATGTGATCAGAAAAGCTCACCTGAGCTTTTAGCTCAGGTCAAACTTCAATGTCAAGGTCATTGTGTTAAAAATCTTGACACAGGTAATACCATACATGTGATAAGTCAAAGACCACAAAACTGTACAGGAGCCATAAAAAAAACTGGAATTTGGGTGGAAAAAACTGTACACTGCCTATCAAAAAACGGTTACAAAAAATGGTATAAGATATCGCTTAAATTCTTCTGAAATTCCATCGTAATCATTGTAATAAACATCGTATATTTTATACCTACGAAGATCTGGGTCAGATTCACGTATATTAAGTCATGTATATCAACTTTAGAAGTTGGCTTAATTTTTTTCAATCAAGTTATGTATACGAAACATTAACAGTAATTAAGTACCCCTTAAAAAATAAAGCTACCTAAAGGGGTATTTGATATGGATTTATAACAAGATAATTATCCCAATTGGCAGTTCACACCTTCGCACGCGATGGTTTGTGTACACTACACAATTATCAGAAGGTCAAGTGTCAAACACAGGTGACGTTTTCCAGTGTCTCGCAAGCGAGAATGAGAGGGAAATGGCGGCATTTAGCGAGAAATTCAAAATACTGTACAAATTTTCATATTCTGTGAATTTTGGTGTCCCGCCGGTACACGATGAATGGGCTCAAAAAACTGTACATTTTGCGTACAGCCTGTACATATCACATGTATGGGTAATACATATGTCAAATATGAAATCCCCATCTTCTCTCCTTCAAAAGTTAGCAGCAATGATAATTATTTTGAAAATTAGGTCAAACTTCAAGGTCATGGAGTCAAATTTCATTGCATATTCAGAAACTTCTTGTCACTGTTAATGCACTTGTCCAAGATGAAAACCCTAACTTCTCTCATTCAAAAATTATCACCAATGTTAAATTTTTTGAAATTTAGCTCAAACTTAAAGGTCAAGGTCATGAGGTAAAAAATCATAGCATGTAAGGAAATGTGTTGTCATAAGTAATGCACATGTCAAATTTGAACACTCTATCTTCTCATTCAAAAGTTATGACCAATATCAAAATTTTTGAAAAGTAGGTCAAACTTCAAGGTCATTAGGTCAAAAATCATAGTATATTTGGAAAAGTCTTGTCTCAGGTAATGTACATGTGAAATGTGAAAGCCCTATCTTTTCTCATTCAAAATTTATGTCCAAGGTTAAAGTTTTTGTGACAGACAGACATACTGACAGGCAAATGAGATTTAATGTCCCCTCGCATTTGTGGAAAATAATAATAATAAAATAATAATTAGTGCCCATCCGAATTCCAAGAATTTGTTGGAGGACCTGGTCTACCTACAAGACTACAAAGACATTATCAATGAGCAACTCCAGCATCCTTTTAATATATTCTTCAGAGTACTCATTTGTAGAATCAGAGTGATTTTTTAACAAATAATTTTGTTGATGACCAATCACAAGACATGGAAATTTCAGAGTTCCATTTTTATTGAAAAAACAGTTGTCTAAAATATCAAAAAAGCCTAGCTTTAAATTTGATTGTATAAAGTGTAGAAAAGTCATACATTTTGATGTTACAAACTTTTGAAAAAGAAAAATTCTCTAGAAGTTAAAGTGTATAGGTAGACTAGCCAGTAATACACAGCTGCGCTCGCCCCAACTGTTGCACCGTCAACATACAGTATTAAGGTGAAAAGTGGTCATAAATATAACTGATAAAAATTTCACAGTTATTTGGATTTTGGTTTATAAATATGCATACCTAATGTTCTGTTAAAAGTACTTTTTTACATATCAATAGGTATACATATTTATAAACCAAGACCCAAGTACCTGTGAAAAATTCAGTTACCAGTGGTAAATGAAAGGAATAAAAAACTCGAAAGTAAAATGGTTTGTGCAAACGAGCATTCATTCCCTTTGATAGAATATAATAAAAGGATTAAATAAATTAAAAATGTATACAAAGCTTTGTCTACATGACCATGATTACCTCGATAGTTTGATTTTATTTTTCAGCAAACTTTTCATCTCTCGCACATCCGGTTTCGTTTTCTACAACAATAGACATTAAGTCGTACGAAGATGCTTCGATTTCGACAAATCGTTATATCGAATTCATATATTTTTTTCTACAGGCCCTGATTGTTGAATTTGATTAAACAAATTTAAGAATTCTGCAGTCTTTTCGTATTTTGCCTTTGCATTACACATTTTAATATAAATTTTTGGTTATATTGACATTGTCAATGTCAAATAGTATTGGCAAGGGAAATTTGGAGGAGAAAGGAAACGTTTATCAACAAGAGCTTTGAAGTCATAGTCCAAACAGTAAAGCACGCAAATATGCAGACATAATTCTGGTAAAGAAACTAGAGGTACTCACAAAATGATAACCCATGCTGCAATTTTTTAAAATGCCCAGTTGCTATTTTGTAAATTCACTTGAACTTGCCAAAATAAGCTTGGTTTAAAAAATTGACACATCCTCTGGTCATAAGTAATCATATATAATATATGTATTGATATCCACTGTGCCTCCATTAGAAAATTATGGTGACGTAATTGACTCTTTTCCTGCCAGTGATCTTGAACTTGCCTATTCTCTTTAGAGAAGTGGATGTAGGCGAAAGCCTGTCCACTTCTCTAAAGAGAATAGAACTTGCCATGATAACCTTGTGTCAAGATTATGACATACTGGTACCTTTAGCTCACAAATAATCTTTGTTTGAAGTTTAAACTTCAACAATTTGAAATTTTATACTTTTCTGCCAGTGACCTTGAACCTACTGGAATGATCTTGGATCAAGGTCATGACATACCTTCAAAACATACGTAATATTTGCGTGAAGTACAGAATTCCAATTTTTATATCCATTAGAAATTTATAGACCAGACACACATTTAATACTTTTTCTTCCAGTGACCTTGAAGATTCCAAAATGCCCTTGTGTTAGATCATGACACAACCTAACATCATAATCTTTTCTTTAGGTATCAACTTCAAATGAGCCCCTACTGGAGATATAGACAGAACACAAATGAAACTATTTTCCCCAGTGATCTTGAGCTTACTGGAATGACCTTTGGTCATAGTCAGTACACATCCTCAGATCATATGTAATACTTCTCCATTACAATTTAAGGTCAGGACAGGACTTGGGTCAAGATCATGACATACCTTCAAGACATAAGCCATCTTTATATGAAGTATGACCTTCCAATGTTTCCCCATAAAGAAGTTGTAAACCAAACAAAAATTCTACATAATTTTTCTGTCAGCGACCTTTAACTTGCTGAAATGACCTTACATCAAGGTCATGACACATCCTGATGTCATAAACAATCTTGGTACTAAGTATCAACTACCAATTAGCCTCATTTGGAGAGTTATAGACAGGACACAACTAAAACAACTTTTTTGGCCAGTGACCTTGAACTAGTTAGAATAATCTAACTGTGTCTCGGGACAATATCATTTTAACGATAGAATGTTCTATCTAACCTTGAACTTGCTAGAAGACCTGAGGTCTTGGTCAATGCACACCCTTAGATCATGTGTAATATTTCTGTTCTCCATTACAAGAAATGAGCAAGACAGGATTTATACATTTTTCTATAAATGACCTTGAACTTTATTAAATAACCTTGAGTCAAGGTCATGTCAGACCTTCAGATCACAGACAATCATTGTATAAACTTCAAATGTTTTCCTACAAAGAAGTTGTAGACAGGACAAAAAAGTTTAAACTTTTTCTTGGCAGCGACTTCTAACTTGACAGAAAGACCTTGGGTCAATGTCATGACACACCTTCATGTCATAAACAATATTTGAACTAAGAATGAATTTCCAATTCTTCTCCATTACAAGGTTATAGACTGGACAAGATCACTTGGACAGACAAGGCAGTTCCTTCAGAATTTTCATACCAAGTGTGTGAGTGGGGGTATAAAAGTTAAACCTACTTCATTCCTGTCACATTATAAGAATGTAAAGCTGGTCTTCAAGACTCAGATTCATTTTTACACACTCAAAAAATGTTGTTGTTTTTTTTTTTTCCAAGCAATAAAAGTTGTTAAATTACTATCTTACTTTTTTTTTTTTTTGCCCTCTCCTGACTTAGGATAAAAAAAAAATGAGTAGGTAGGAATGGAAAAAAAAGATTTTGGAAATTTTCAAAATGAACAATTTTCAGACATTGAATATATTAATCCTTGACAGGTCGACAAATCGCCCAATGAATTTAAAAAAAAAATAGTGCTAATTGTAACGGGAACCGTTACAGATGTTCCCCAAACGGCTCCCCAATCCCTTATGATGCCCCATTCCCTACAAGCTTCAATGAATTAGACAATAATTTTGTAATATAAATGGACACTTCATTTTTAAGGGTATTTCATTGGAAAACTACTCCGTTATAGCCATATGGGTATTAGCCAATCAAATTTCAGCGTATGCGCTTGCACATGTTTTCTACATTTTTTACATTAATTTTCTTATAGTGTCTCACAATACATACATTTGTGTTAAATATTGAAGAATTTCATTGAAAAATAAGAGAGATGTAACCCTTTAAGTATAAGCCAATCAGAATTCAGCATACGTGCATGCATGGCCTTGCATTCAATTTTGATGGTATCATAATGTAAGAGCCCTATGAGCATATCCATGTTGTAAATTTCATCGTGTCTTGTTGAAGTGAGTTATAGACATTTAAAGTCTCAGCCAATCAGATTGCAGCACACTTTCCTGCACGTGGTTTCAAGAGATTTCCTATATAACATGTTGTAGCACCTTATAATATATACTTATATTTTCAATTTCAAAGTATTTCGTCAAAAAACAAAGAAATTATTGAGATTTTTGTATCAGCCAATCAGAGGAGAGCGCACGTGCATGCGCGTGAGTTCACGCTAATTTGACCATGTCAACTTGTTTAGACAACTAATATATCTTTATATTTTGAGTTTCAAAGCAATTCATCAAGAAATATAAAAGTTACGGCTTTATCAAGTATATCAGTCATTTCACTCATTGCACGCGCGCGCACGTGCATGCATGTGCGCGCAAAATGACCTTCGTTCCGAACACCTACACAACATGCCTATTAACCCTAAAAAGGTTTCATGTCAATCGGATGAGTGGTTCTATGAGAACACTCCCGGACAAAAAAGTACCGGAGAAGAAAGTAGAAAAAAAGAATAATAATAATAACTAGATGCGTTTCTTGTTGCTAGGGCAACAAGTGGTCTTCCGACCGAACTTTTCTCCAGAACGCTATGCTATCTCACTTCATTTAATACTTTATTGAAGGTATTTTTCGTTTGCGTTTATGTAACACAGTCTTTCAACATAGATCATAATTATTAAAGGATTTCTGTAGATAGAATCTCTGTTAACAAAGCTTTAAAAAATAAGCAAAAACTATCATACATGTCTTCACGGAGAAAAATATTATTTACAACTGAAAAAAGAGAGAAACAATCTCCCGCCCAAGCAGGATTCGAACGCGCAACATACGAGAAAGATTGGATCGGTCATATCTTTGCAATAAATGCATCAATCAAAATGATGAAAACATACATAGAACTCTTAGAAGACTCTCTATTAACCCTGTAAATTTCAAAGAAAAATATTGAAAAACAAAAAAGTTGCAAATTTAACATTTTTGAATTCACTTCCGTTCGCGAACGACGAAAAATAAAGGTCGATCACCATATCTCCATTTGATGTTCTATCACGTCAGTGAGTTTCAATTTCATATCTTTAACCGTTCTTGAGAAAATTAACGGACAAAATTCCATTTAAAAAATACAATTTTCCCCAAAAATCGCGAACGGAAGTGAATTTCAAAAAAGTGAGGGACACCCCTGGAGATATATTCATGATGCATCTTCCCTGAAAAAATCTTTCAAATTGAACCACGCATAGCTGAGATATGGCCTGTACTATGAAAAAAAGAATAATAATAGAAAACAGACGGAAAACAATAAGGTCTTCCGAAGGAAGTCGGAAGACCTTAATAACTAGAAACTCATTGCGAGCAATGAGAGGTCTTCCGTCCGCTTTTGAAAATGAAAACTTAAATCCAAGCTAAAAAGGTGATAAAACAAGCTAATTCAGAGAATTCGTGTCCCCCACTTAGGGAAAAAAGAAGAGCATGCGCAGTTGGGGGGGGGGGGGGGGGGGTCAGACCTCCCTGGATTTGAAGAGTTATTAAATGTATACATGTATTTTGAAGAAAATAAAAAATGCCAATATAGATATAAAGATTTGTTTGCTTATTCTTTAATGTGTATATAGAAGATTCTTTTTATATAGAATATTTATCACACTGTAATAATGATTTTATGAGTTTGAACAAGCCAGACGTCATAACTTTTTCATTTCACATGCTGAATACTATCATTTAGTGAATCCAAAAAAAAAAATTCCCTAAAAAAAGGGATCGTCCAGGATTTGAACCCGGCACCTCTCACGTGCTAAGCCAGAGTCATACCCCTTGGCCACGGAGGCACTTGATTATGACACTTTGCTTATGGTACCATTTCTCATAAGAGTCTCCATTATCCCTAATAAAATCATTAAAAATATTGAGAGACAAACAAGTTGAAAAATTCGACTTTATCAATTCGCTTCTGGTAGCGACTGGAACCATTGACGACGCACAAAAAGACAAATACGCAAATCTGGAAGTCATGTTCTATGCTCTCCAATAAGTCTCCAATTCATATCTTTAGACTTTCTTTAGATCTGCAGTGGAAAAAATTCCATTTAAAAATCAGGAAATTGCCCGTTACATGGAACCGGAAGTGAATTTTTCCAAAATTCTTTCAAATGTAACAATGGCTTTTTAAGGACCCTCTCTACACTCCACCTTAATTTCAGGATACTTTTGTGTAGTTAGACTGACCCATCATTTGATATAGAAATAGAATAAATTGTAATCTGCGCTATATGACATAATTTGAAATAGATCCAAGTATTCTTAACATTATATTAGACCAA